TCAGAATCTACGCTACCGATTTACCTAAGAGACGAGTATTCGTTCATATCACAAATACGAAGACATTTTTGGATTTTTTTTCATAGGAAATCTGAAAAAACATAGGAATTTATAGGGCAAAATTTCCATTTTCGTTTCCTGGTGTCACAAGTGAAAGACACTTTCCACACCAAGGTAATTTGTGACGCTGAATGCGAATATGGTCATCAAAAAATTCTAAAGTGCCGTGAAGCCGAGTTTCAGGTGGAAAATCGATCGTTCTGGAGAACACGTGGCCGCTATCGTCAGATTGACATCAGATTCAGAATCTACGCTACCGATTTACCTAAGAGACGAGTATTCGTTCATATCACAAATACGAAGACATTTTTGGATTTTTTTTCATAGGAAATCTGAAAAAACATAGGAATTTATAGGGCAAAATTTCCATTTTCGTTTCCTGGTGTCACAAGTGAAAGAAACTTTCCACACCAAGGTAATTTGTGATGCTGAATGCGAATATGGTCATCACAAAATTCTAAAGTGCCGTGAAGCGGCCTATTGGTGCGCAGTAGGTGCATGTCAAATTCCGTGACAATATCTAGAACAGTATTAAAGTTATTATAAGAAAACTAGTTTTTTCTCAAAATTTCAACACCCTGTAGCTGAAAAGTTAAGGGGTTTAGGTCATATGTTCATAAAAACTTTTCTTCCTAAAATTAACTAAGGAATCATATCAATGAAATTGCACCGTATATAAAAGTTATACCTAATCAGAATTGAGGGACATGGTTTTATTTTTATCTAATTCTTTGAGTGGGTGCTACACATATTACACTCTATACGTAATTCTTTGAAGTGGTTCGGCATCTCTTTGGCACGTATCATGAAACAAACAAAACAGTTTTATTCGATGAAATGCGTAGCAGGCAGAAATAATACTAGTGCCTGAAATCGCGGAGTCGGCAATATACTGTTAAACTTGGAATCAAGTAGATTGACATCACTTCCTACGCATTGATATATAAATCTGATGAAACGAAGACCTTGCATTTGTGAGAATTTTCCATTTCGACTTTTACTAACCACGCCAACTGGCGAAAAATTTCGTAAATATTACATTTTTTATGTTATATGTACTCGAGCACTTGGTGCTGGTGCGCTGGTCCTGAACACAGCGGCACCGATGCCGTTCCCCCTCCACCTCGACCGCACAGTCGTCGCGAAATAGAGAAACATATTAAGCGCACTGTCTCTGGGGCGTGGGCCATTTCTTAATAGGACAAGACAAAGTGGACAGGTTTTTTAGCGTCTTAACGTGCATCTTTTTTTAAACGATATCATTCAATCCTGCATGAAAGTAGTTTTTATAAATACTGATGGAAAAGCAAAATGTTTAATTTGTCATACGGTATTGAGGCCAGCCCTTCTAAGTTCTGAAGGGGTAATTATTAATTTGGTCGTAGTTGATATCGTAATGCAAGTTATATTGTTGCTATGAACATCGCATAAAGTGGGAAACCGTTTACTGACGGTGCACTTGTCAAAGAATGCTTAGTGGCGTGTGCAGAAATATTGTGCCCATCTCCTGTAAGCAACTTTGAGACAATTAGTATGTCCGAGCAAACAATTTCTCGTCGGATACTTGAACTTGGTGCAGATTTAAAAGAACAACTGCGGGAAAATGTGCCCATTTTGTGCGGTATTCTATAGCTCTCGATGAAAGTAAAGACATTTCTGCCACAGCATAATTAGCTGTTTTCGTTAGAGGTGTCGAAATAGTCTTTACTATCACCGACGAACTACTAGACGTTATCCCGCTCAAAGATACAATGGCGGAAGAGATTTTTTTGATGCTGTAGAATAAACAATGAATGACATGGGTATACTACTCAAAAGTTTGCGAAGTGTTTGTCTCAGTTCGGTGATTGTACGAGCAGGATGTTGTCGTAGAACCTTTTTCATCTCGTGCCACAAAGTTTCAATAGGTGACAGATCTGGACTGCTAGAAACCCATTTCAAAAGTGGTACATTATTTTCTTCCATCCATTTTATAGCCTTTTTGGAGGTATGGCACGCTGCACCATCTTGCTGAAACACAAAATCTTGGCCGGATGTCAAACATTCTTCCATCACTGGTAAAAGCGATTCTTCTAAAATTGCCAAATATTTGTTTGGATCCACATTTCCGTCAATAAAATGAAGTTTTCCTACTCCTTTTGATGACATACTGCCCCAGACCATAATGGATGCTGGAAATTTCACTTTTCTATTCAGACAGTCAACATGGAATACTTCATTTTTTTTGCGAATAACTCTACTGCGACTGTCACCAACACAAACTTCGAATCGGGCCTCATCACTCCGTTGTATTGCACACCATTGTTGAGGTGTCCATTGTCTATGTTCTTTAGCCCATCTAAGCCGATTTTTCTTTTGCAGTGGAGTTAATAGTGGCTTTTCTTTGGCCTATAAATAAGTTGTGCAACTTTAGGGTTTTTACTTCACTTTTTTTTAAGAAAACTTACCTTGCAAGTGCTAAATCCCAGTTTGTGGGCCTCTCTATGAGTTGTGCACCTCGAAATTCTCCTTCCAACAGCGTCACTCCACAGAGCACTTAATGGTAAATAATTGGCACGCCTGTTTTTCACGATTATTTTTCGGTCGGCATTTGTGATATTACTTTTTTTCACATATCGTGGCTTAATATTAACTGAACGAGTTACGTTATATCTTCTAACAATATTTCTCACACTGTACCGCGATAAGTCTAACAAAGTTGCAATTTCTGAGTTTGATTTTCCAGAATAAAAAAATTTAATTATCAGTAACGGAATTTTCTCACTAATAACCTTTCCTCTACCCAGTTTAAAAACCTTACCTACCCAAAACTATTTTAAAGGTATTCTGACAGCAGTGATTAATAAAAACAATTGTTATGGCTTTTATTTTTCACAGCCACCTATGCGTTATAGACTTATTTTGCATTGAAATTAAAATAGGTTGATATGCTGTAATTGCAACATGTGTTATTTTTATGCTGCAAATTTGATTAGAGAGTGATAAAGTTGGTGTTTTCTACTATATGTTATCAAAATATTCATTGTTAATATTTTAAACCTATGCTACATTTTTATGATTTGTGTTTGATAAGAAAAAAACTAAGATTTCAATAGTTGGGCCGACTCAAGTGGGAAGGGGCTCGTACTATAAAATTGTTTTTGTATTTTTTAAAATGTTTCTCACCAAAGTCGAAGTCTAAGCTGCAACATTTTTATGTATTGTATCCAGTTTGATAAGTATCGCGAACAAAGTTGAAGGTAAAATACGATTCCTTTTCTTTGTTTTGATTATCTCCATATATGAGACTGTCCACTCGACATCTGCAATACCATGTGCCAAATGTTAAAATTATTAGACATATCTTTGGAAATACACTTCACAGGTTGTCTTCTTACCACCTACTACCTGTATACGTGTCTACGTTGAATAAGAATTACCGACCGGTGCGGTGGTTACCACTGTCGATTGGAAATATATCTGCATTTAGATTTAGTTACTAACTGCACTCAATTTTTTTTTCTGGTAAAAATATCCATCATGTGTACCTAAATTGCAAAATTCCGCTACTTTTAACAAAAAATCCAATTCCGCCGCTACCACTTGAAAATTCCGCTACCAGTAGCGGAATTCCGCTACTTCTGGCAACACTGGAGTCAACCCGCAGCACTGTGATACGAGCGGTGCTCTCAGCTTACTGGGGCCAAACACGAAGAAAGTAAAAATACTGATTTTCGACGTTCCAGAAGCTCCTGATCGTTTTCAGGAAATTTCTTGAATATTTCAATTTTTGGCATTACCTCATTTATACAGCTTGACACAAAAGGATAAGGCATTTTTGGAAAAGATGAAGGTCAGGTCTTCAGTAACTTTCAGCAAGGAATTTAACGGTGACCTTGACCTTGAAGATTAATGTACGGCCAACTTCATTTTCTCAAACAGAAACCCCTATTTCTAATGCCGGCAATCCAAAGAACATAACATTTTACGTTCAAACAAATTCGAAGTCCAAGGTCAGGATTACTACTAAAGGTCAAATGAAGATCAAACCTCTATAAATATCACCGGATTAGTGATGAAAATAACTATCAGGTCGGGTCTGTAGTCAATTTTGGCAAATGATCTTGAACTTGACCTTGAACTTCGCCTTCGTAATTTCAAGGTCAGGACAGTATCGGTTAAACATCATTTTCAACGAGCACCGCGGTTCACTCGCAAAAACTTAGCCAAAGATTTCTAGGAGTTTTCCTAACAACACGCATTTGGCCTTTATGTGACCTCTAGTGGTCACCTTGACCTCGAATACTAATACACAAAAATTTTCCGGCTTTCTGGATTGTCAGAATCAAATGGGCGTGTCTATTTGGAAAAATAGTTGGAATTGAAATGGCCTTGAAGGTGAGGTTCAAGGTCAAATCCAAAATCTTGTGAAAATTTACCGAGACCTGACCTTACCAGTTATTTTCTGCGAGATTTTTAGGGGTTTAACAAATTTAACCTTTATTTAAACTAATTGACCTCTAGCGGTTATCTTGATCTCGAATTTAAATACATATTCAAGTGTAAGACAGAATATTAGGTTGACTTTGGTTAAGTTTTAACGAGGGAACTACAATGTTCGTTACAAATGATTTTTGAACCGGTACTGTTATGCGGGTTTCTACTTGAAAAAAAAACAAACAAACTTGAAATGACCTTGATGGGGTCCGAAGTCAAATCTAAGATCACTAGTCAAAATTTACTGAGAAACTGACCTTGGTAGTTATTTTTATCTCCAATTCTGTAAGATTCATAGTGTTTTTTTAGCAACACACATTTGACCTTTAGTGGTTACCATGACCTTGGTCTTTAATTCGTACTTGAACGTAAAATTGTCTGCTCTTTCGACAGCCGGCAACAAACTAGGTACAACAACAACAACAGCTGCCGATACGGCCCTAATTCAATTTTATAAATTGTAGGACGACCAGCCATTCTTCCGTCTTTACTTGCACGTCAGCTAGCCGATTTGTCCTTATCAGACGATGAAACTGAGTTACCTCTAGTCAAGGATGAGGTAATATACCCCACCACAGCAGAAATTTTTGCAGAAAAGAGGCCTAAAATCCTGCCAAACATAGTGGACGGACCATATCCCTCATTAGAGAAATATTTAAAAATACAGTATGATCTACTACGTGAAGATTTCATCGGTCCTTTAAGGTCTGACTTGACCAACTTCGAAAAATATGGAAATAAGAATGCCTTACAAAATATAAAGTTTCATAAAGTCGTATTCTTACGCAAAGGGGCTAAACATGAGAAAAGTTGTTACTACGCACATATTGTATCCCAATTGGATCAAAACTTGAGAGCGACAGGTGGCTCGAAAAGGTTGATTCCAGGATCATTTGTGCTTTTTTACTATGAAAATCTGAGGGACGTGGTATGTGGAAAAATCGAAGATAGTGAAAATATATTCAAATATAAAAGGTATGATGAAAGAAAAAACGGTGCCTCAACAAGTACTTCAGGATATTTTGTGTATAAAACCAACAATTTTTGATAAATGATACAGGTATGTTTCGTTTATATACGATCTTACGGAAAGCTTTGTCCGTCTCTAAGGGCTGTATCGTCTGCCGTTCCTACAATTGGAGGACGCCTTTATGGCCTCGATTTTCAGTTTTTCCAATCCTTCAGAAAGGCGCTCTTTTTTGAGGTTATGTTACAAATATCTTTTGCATCAAATTGCTCATGCTTTTGTTTGTTATCATCTGTTTTATCAGCTTGAAAATTCCTACAAATCAGAAAGAAAACATAACTTCACACTAGGACAGCGCTGACACGGAACAATAGAAATCTGAAAATACCCCAGCCTTTCTGTAGGAGAGAAAAGTCTAAGAAAATCAAGGAGGCCATAAAGGGGTCCTACAATATTGTAGGAACGACTGACGATACGCCCCTAAGTTATAATACTCGTTTTAAATCAACAATTACCTGACGCGAAATTATTCAGATGGATTTCTTCAAGGTCATCATCATTGGACAAATTCATGGATCATTGGACAAATTCATGGATTATCTGCAGAGCTGCAGAACTGCCAAAACTTTTGTCTTAACAGAAAGAAGCAGTAGTAATTTGATCATTATTTATTTTCCATGTTATCACACAAATAGAAACAATACCGGCCTGCCCCCGCAAGACACGGCGTCGAGTCTGTTTTGCAGCATTATAATCGTCCAAATGTGTACTTGTCATGTTCGTCGCGTCCGCAGCGTAACATTATTCATGGGCCACTTGAAAAGGGTCTGTGCACTACTTCGACACAAGCCGCACGCGCTTGCTTTTGTCTCTCTCTACAAAATCAAATACGTGATTTAAGCATAAGCATGTGCTGCAATTTATGCAGATCCGTACAGATCTAATGCGAAGTACGATATCTGATTGGTCGGTCGGTGCTCGGTATAAAATTTTGCGGGGCATTTGAATTGGCGACGACGAAACCGAGAGCTCCCAAGACCTTTCGTGGAATGATTAATTTTTCTGCTGAGCTTGATACAAACTTAAGCGAACACATACAAAATGCTTCAATATTTAAAGGACTTCGAAAGAAATACATAACGATCAACTGGATTGTATTCTTGAAGTTTGTCATGAAGAAATAATAAAACAGATTAACAGAGCCTCGTATTTGGCGATAATAGCAGATGAAACAACGGACATTTCGGGGAAAACCCAACTGGTAACAATTTTCAGATACGTATTTAACGGCGAACCAGTAGAACGTTTTTGGAATTATATGAATCCCGAAAAATGTGACGCTGATACTCTCACAAGACATATTTTGAGCGTCGTAGATCCATTAGTAGGAAATTCCCCTCACAAAGCTATGATGGAGCCGCGGTAATGACCGGGCATAATGCTGGAGTACAGGCAAAAATTAACCCTTTCGGTACGGCTTGTCACTGAACATTTTTATTCCTACGGCCTGAGACTTTTACATTGGTCATTGGCCTGCCGTCGGAAATATCCGTCACCTAAGAAAACTACCCACATTTTATGAAATAATATGAGCAAGTTATATTAAAACAATTATTTTATTAGATAAAGTTACAGAAAACATAAACACATTAAACATTAGAACATTAAACATTAAAAAGTAGCCTCTGTGTGATATAATTTGAAGCAAGGGACCACGCATAATCCAACGTCACATTCTGGGCACATATAGCTGGACTCTTTTCTTTTTGCTTGCTTCTGCTTTGTATGGGAACAAACCCAACATCTTCTGGATCCAACCTTAGTACTGCCTGGTTTTCGTGGAACTGACACCGGAAAGTGTCTATTCTGAAGCCTGGCATTGCCCAAATCGCAATGTATAGATTTTACTATGCCATACCTGCAAAAAAAAAGCATTTAGCAAATATGATCGAAAACTACAAAGAAATCTTTACCTTTCTATAAGTTGAGCAATAACCGCTAGATGAAAATTGGCGAATGAAGTCTTCTTAGTATGTCTTGTGGAAAACATTGCATTTGCGTTTAGCAATGTTATGTCAATAGAATGGAAAAATAACTTCTTATACCGAGTGCAATCTACGCTACTCAGCATCATATCTGATCTGTCGACAGCCCCCATTTGACGGTTGTATTCCAGAACACATAACGGCTTTATTACATTTTCATATGTAGATCGATTTATTTTCGGCAAAGTAACCATTCTATTTTCATGCATACTGGTCAGCATCACAACATCCCGCCGATCTATCCATTTTATTGCCAATAAATTTTCACTACTTCTCCAGTCAGTATCTCCTTGTTTTAATTTTTTATCAAATACTGGCATATGTTTCCTATTTTGCCTTACAGTTCCACAGGAGTTTGTTTTATGTTGTAACAAAAAAGTTGAAAGTGTAGGGCTGGTGTAAAAATTATCCGTATAAAGAGAATGTCCCTTGTTGAGGTATGGCTCTAAAAGTTTTGCAACAACGGCCCCTGTAGTACCAAGATTATTCTTGTCTTCTGCTTTTATATTAGTGTCTTTTCCACAATATATTATAAAGTCTAAGACAATTCCTGTTTCGCAATCGCACAACACGTAGAGTTTAATTCCAAAACGATGTTTCTTGGTCTTGATATACTGTTTAAAACTGAGTCTTCCTTTAAAAAGAATCATACTCTCATCTATAACCAAATTTTGAAATGGATAGAATTGAGACTGGAAATTTTCTTTCAATATATTTAGCACGTTCTCAACTTTGAACAATCTATTACCAGGTGGAGCGATTTCATTATTGGAGAAATGCAAATATCTTTGTAATTGAAAATACCTGTCCCTTGACATATGTTTGCTAAATGCAGGTGAAAGCAGTAAGTGGTTTTGGGACCAATATTCCTTCAAGTTCATTTTTTTATTGCGAGGCATAAGCAACGTCAAAGCCAGAAAAACGTAAAATTCGGAACGTTCTAAATGCTTCCAGTTTTTTGCATTTTGTTGGCGTGCATAATTATTTGTTTCATCCAAAATAACATCCACTATGTTTTCTGTGAACAAACTAAGAAAATAGTCGACTTCCTTTGAGTTTTCGTCGAGGTTTTGGTCTTTTACACCGCTATTGGTCGTGTCAAATTCGTGTATTTTCGGTAGAAACTCATTTTTTGTCCAAATTATTTCCAGAACTGTTTGGTGAGTAATATTATCTTCAACGTTTCCTACCTCTTCCTGCTGATTTTCTTGTTCATTTCCCGGTTCCAATTCATCCAGATCGCTCTCAGAGTCCTCAGAAGATGGACAATATTCGCTTCCGCTATCGAGAAAGGGGTCTTCTTCACTAACGTCAGACAAGTAAATATCTTCATCTACCAGACTTAAAATACTATTGACTTGCTCCTCAGTTAAACCACAATATCCGCTACAATCTACTTTACGCCTTTTCGGCCGCTTAGTGCCCTGAGACGAACTGGCCTCCTCGTTTGACATGATCGAACGAACTGACGCTTCTGAAGCTTACGGTACATGGCATGCTACCATGCTCGACTGCCGTCGGATATTTCCGACATTGACGGGTTATTCCGACAGCAGGCCATCCACAATGCGTTATACGTCGGATGAAGTCGTCGGCAGTCTCTCGGTGAATGTAAGTTTTCAAAAGAGTCGGAAATAAACGGCACAAGTGTCATTAAACAAAATAACCTTGAACAGATATATCCGTCACCAGGCCGCAGGGCCATATTGCTTCCTGTCGGGTATATCCGGCAACCGTACCGAAAGGGTTAAACAAAGATATCCATTTGCCCACTATGTGCATTGCTATGCGCAGCAGTTAAACCTGATTATGTCCCAGGCTGCTTCCGCAAATGCTCAAGTTCGGGTGTTCTTTGGGGATTTGAAAGATATTCCGGGATTTTTTAATAATTCTCCTCAACGCGTAGAGGGACTGAACAGAATTGTGGGGAAAAAATTCCACAAGGAGCAACAACTCGTTGGAATTTTAATATCCGAACAATAAATGTAGTGTTTGAGAACAAAGAATCACTTATTGAATGCACGGAAGAAATAGAAGAAAATTTCACTAATGAAACCGTTTGCAAGGCAGCTTGCGGTATTCGCCGTATGTTAAACGATTCTGTTTTCGTGTTTTGGTTGGCATTTTTTCATCATGTCATGCCTCACGTCGACATCTTGTTCAACCAGTTGCAGAAGAGAAAAACCGAGCCAGCGCAAGTTAAAACGGCTATCGACAATTTTGAAAAATGTATTGTCGATGTGAGAAATAAAATTGATGACATAATAAATGAAGCCAAAAGTATTTGCACTGAACCCCAAGGCAACAAAAGGAGACGACGTAATAATAGCACTCACGATCACCGTGTTGCCGCATTAGAAGTATGCGACAATACAGGGTGTCCGCAAAGTTGGGGTTTTCCTTTACACGACGTGTAGATCTTGAAAACATAAGCAATTTTTCTTAGTACCATATACACCAATGTCTTAAGGGAACCGAGATGAAGGGCTCTGCAACATCACAAATATCTAAATACCGTCATGTAGCCGCGACATTACCGACTGGTCCAAGGTCACTGGCTCAACCCGACGACAGAACTGGGTCGGGGTCAGTGTGTCAGGTCAGTATGCAACCTTCAACCGACGGTTACGGTCACGCGTGTAGAGGTAATCGCGTAGACGAGAATCCCTCAACAAGCACTAGAGACGTGGCTAGTGAAGTGCAAGTATCAAAAACTAAAGTGTGGCAAACGCTGCGTGAAGAGGGGCTGTAACCGTTTCACGTCCAACTTGTACAAGCCCTTCAACCTGACGATTTTCCATCAAGAGTGCGGTTTTGTGAGTGGTTGTTGCATCAACATGACAATAATCCGGACTTTTTGAAGTGCATATTGGTGACAGACGAATCTACGTTCACGCGTAATGGGGTGAATAACTTTCGCAACACTCATGTTTGGTCAGTAGAAAATCCGCACGCTGTCCGTCGGGCACATTTTCAACAAACATTTTCGGTGAATGTTTGGGCTGGCATGGTGAACGGTATGCTCATTGGACCATTTATTCTCCCAAATCGATTGGACGGGATGCAATACCTAGACTTTTTACGCAACATTTTGCCTTCCTTGTTAGAAGATGTGCCATTAAGTGTAAGACAATCAATGTGGTTTCTGCGTCTGCTCGGTAGCGCATCAGCTGATTTCATTTTCCGTTGGAGCGGTATGATTTCGGACAGAGACGTACTTAGCCCTTCTCGTCAACTGGAGAGTGAGTACTTTTTCCTTTATTTTTTTTTTACTTGGTCGCCCTCGTTTCACTACACATTACCTTTGTTATTTCAAGGGTAGTTGTTTCTGAAAAGAAAAACCCCAACTTTGCGGACACCCTGTATAGTGAATTCTGCAAAGTCAAAGATCATTTGGTAGCCGCATCCCTTTTTTTCCCCGAACACTTTGGAGAATACTGTGGTTTCCTGATGACAAGTTGGAAACTACCTGGTTGGCTTATCCCGAATGATTGCCGAGATTTACATGGAACTCTGTCTCTTTTGAAATTTTCGATACAAAATAGTTTGGAGGAAACACTAAAAGAAACAAAAAAGCCATTAGAAATTATTGTTACAACTCCTACGTCAACATCAGAGGCTGAGCGAAATTTCTCAACATTGAACTGTTCTTCGTAATACCAAGGATCGCCTTACAAACGCTGTCCATTGAAAAGGAATTTATTTCGACCATGGAAAATTTCAACGGGAAGGTGATCGACAAATTTGCTGCCAAGAAGGAGCGCAGGATCGAACTGACCTATAAGAAATAGGTAAGTTCGGATTTGCAGAACGCCTGTTTTATTTTGCCACGAGCCGCCACAGCGCAATATGAATGTTTAACTCAAGTCTCCGAATTTGAATTCGGAATTACTTGTTGGGGCACGTTTTGAGTATTATTCCGATGTTTCGGACTGCCTGAATAGATTTCGATCGATTGTAATCTTATTTTCAGATTTCTTGTAAGCTTGCATCCTGATACAGTTATGGATTTTGATAAAACGTATACAATGATTGAGTATACTGTGTTTTTCGAGCCGTATCACTGTGCTTTGAAAGTACTAAAAGGGATGTCTCGCGACACATTTCCTATGGAAAGGTAAACATAAAAAAATGTAAAATGAGAATTAGGATTTGTATGGAAGCTTCCGCAGGTTTTGAAATCACAGTTAGGTACCAAAAATAGCCTATTACAGTAGAACCCCGATTATCCGAGATAATGTGGACTCAAGTGCTTTCGGATAATCGAAATTCCGGAAAAAACGGAAATAAATATTTAGACTCATAATGCTTTTATTGAAAAAAGTACCGGCGGCTATTTCGGATAAAGCGGATTTCCGATACTCCGGATTCGAATAATCGGGGTTCTACTGTAATTTATTAGTAATGTGCTTTCTAGTTCATTTCGGTGAACTAGTTCAATAGGTCGCGCTAACTATAACAAACTAGTTCAATCTTTCATCCGGTCGTCAGAATTGAGCAGCGTCGTATTCTTGTTTTTTTTATTTCATTTCTTGGATGTTTCAAATTTAAATACTCCGCGCGATGTACAGTTTCTTCATGAGCCGCAACCGGTGATCTCTTTTTTTATAAAAGATAGCAAGTTTTTAATTTTTTCAGCATTTATCATATTTTGCGTAACTTCCAGGTAACCAGTGAAACAACACTGCGTTCAAACACGTATCTGAAAGATACTGGCGCCCTCTGTGAAGCAGTAGCAAAACACAAAAATGTCTCATAGATGGCGCTAGGATCTTTTATCCCTTTTTGGCAACACTAGATACATACATACAGGGTGGCGCATCGAAACAGACGCATTTACTGGCAGCTCAGTTTTTTTTTTTGGAAAAACGCTCAGACCCGTCGATTTTGTTTTCGAGGGGGACATAAGTTTGGCAAAAAATCACGTTAGCACGTGCAGCCCCCTAAGCGGGGGTGACACCACCCCCAAAATCTTAAATGGAAAGGGGGGTCGAGTGATACCTTATTTTAAAGGTCTTTCAATGCCCTTGATAATGATTTAAAATACATGTCTTGTCTCCCTCTCGACAACAAAATCGACGGGTCTGAGCGTTTTTCCAAAAAAAATGAGCTGCCAGTAAATGCGTCTGTTTCGTTTTCGATGCGCCACCCTGTATGTATGAGCATAATACATGTAGTAACACAAAACGATGAAATAAAAAGTCACTTTAATGACGCAAAAATTCATATATTGTCGTTTGTTGCCTGAACCCCATAGGCTGCGTTTGTACCGAAAGATTGAAGTCGGTGAATCCCCGGTTAACGCGAGAAACTCCAGGCGATTCTCCCAACAGAAAAAAACAAAAGGCGTTTCTCTTTATTTTGCTTTTTGTCCGGTTAGGTGAACAAGAACAAGAGAGAGTTAATACCATGCAAATTATGTGAGAGTCGGTAGGGACCATGAGAATCTGTCCGTTAAAAGGTGTCTGTGTAAGAGGGGTGTGCGCGAAGCGAAATTTCACTGTATTTATTTATATTTCTCTGTAAATCTATTTTTTGTTAGGTACGTTGTGGAGTTGAATTTATCGGTGAATCGTCCTAGCTATCGCAAAAGAATATCTACATCAACGTCAGATCTGTCAACGTTCAATAAATCTCAAAGCGATGCTTTTCTAAACGCATTGAATAAAGAATTTGTGCTGATACAGGTAAGTAGAAGGCAAGCAGATTTCTGTGCTCCGCCTGATGTTAAGAAACAAATGACTATCTGATAATTTACAGTTCTATTTAGAATATTATGTTTTCGATAAAATTTTATTTTGCAGCATTAATTTATGACGTATATATTTATGTAATCAGAATGAAAACCATTCATTTGTGAAATAATCCAGTATGACGCCCATGAGAAAAAATAGAGTTAATGAAAAGAAACGTCATGTTGTGACTAAATGAAAACACGTTTACGAGGGTGGTCTGAAAAGATTCCGACCTAACAAAGATACACTTTTTCTGAAATTTTTGTTTTATTCAACATAGTCTCCTTGTAACCCTACAAACTTCTCCCAGCGATGTTTCCATCTCGGTAACCCGTCCAAATAGTACTCGGCGTAGTTTTGGCCGCCCCGCACGGGTATCATGTAAAAAACCTACAAAACATCAAAAAAAAAAAAACCTATAAGATGTCAACTTGCAGACTAGGTAGTTTTTAGGGCGCAAACAGTCATTCCACGTTTGCTCACTAGGATCGTTGTGAACGTCCATCTATGAAGGAATCACTCAACTAAACTACACGCATTATTGGTTGCATAGTTTTGTGAGACCAAATAGTTCTTGTCTGTAGTTTTTATCTCTGAGAAGAAAGTTGGTTGAATAACAAGATCGCATCTGGATGATTATATGTATTGGTCTGCACGTGCATAAAATCAGTGATATTTGCTGTGTGAGAAAATCATTACTGAATATGCTGAATATAACGGGTTATTTATATGTCGTGATTTCTGAAGAGAGGTTATGTGCAAAGTTATAAATTACGAAAAACTGAGGGGAATTACCGGAAATCATCACCGCGCCCGCGTTGTGTGTAATTACTGTAAGCATGTATATGGCTTGTAATTCGACAGTGTACAGTGAATATAATTATTTCTTATCTCTCTCATTTTTGAAATTCAGCAAATTTGTATACAGGGTGTTTCAGTTTATTGTTGCATAACTTTAAGATTCGATAGAACTTTTAAGATTAATGCATAAAGTCTATATAAACATGGGTCGAAAAATGCGTGGCTTTCGAAATACAGGGTGTTTAAATTTACTTTCTAAAATAGTTTTTTTTTAAATATTTCGAACAATATTTGATGTATAACAGTGAAAATTGGTATACGAGGGTTTTTTGGTACGACAAAACGAACCATGGGCATAGTTTTACTGTAGCCGCTAGAGGGCGCTCTCTACTGTACCTGTAGTGTATTAAAATGACCGAAAATTTTTTCTTAGTGCAATTTTTTGCTTTTTGAATACAAAAAAACTGATTCTTCGCACTTTTCAACATAAAAAAGCTCTCTTGTGAATTTTCGATATAGTTAGCCGTTTTTGAGATATTTCGATTTTTAAGGTTCGATGCATTTTTAATTATTTATGATAAAATAACGTTAAAAAGTCAGTATCTCGATAATTTTTAGGAGTAGGCTGTGCCTGCAAATATTTTTGAAATTGAAAGCAGAATAAGGTTAAACGTCAATTAGTTAGTTTTGTTGTCTGTTGAAACCTGAAACGTTTTTTTGCAATTGTGAATGCATGAAATTTAGTTTCTTTTACCTGTTTTTTTTGTAAGTTTTATAAAAATGCCATTTTTATTCTCCAATCAAGAGTTAGCGGATATTCATTTTGTGTATGGCTTTGTAAATGGAAACGCAGCAGAAGCAGCCAGAAAATACGCACAAAGATTTCCAAACAGACGACATCCAACTAAGAGTGCATCGCCAAATAATTGAAAATGGTTTTGGAAATCTCCAAAGGGATCAAAACATAAATGTTCGTCAGCGCAGATTTACCCGTATGATTCTGCGTGAGTTTGATAGAGATCCTACCACAAGTGTTAGGAGAGTTTCTGGTGCCTTGGGAATTTCAGCAAGCCATGTTCACCGTGTTCTTAGAAATGACCATAGTAGTCCTTACCATTTGCAACCTGTGCAAGGACTACAGCCATGGGACGGAGAACGAAGAATCACATTTTGTCAGTGGATTCTTGATAGAACTGATAATAATAGGGAGTTTTTAAGTAACGTTTTATGGACCGATGAGTCATGCTTCACTAGACGTGGAGTGGTAAGTTTTCACAATCAACATATTTGGTCGCATGAAAATCCGCATGCAGTTCGGGAAAGAAATTTTCAGCATGAATTTAGTGTGAACGTATGGATTGGTATCTACCGTAATCGACTATTTGGACCCTACCTTTGCCTTAAATGCTGCGACCTTCTGGGAATTTTTAAAGGCTGAACATGCAAATATGTGAGATGATGTTATGTAAGACTTAAGAAGATTGGCCTGGTTCCAGCTTGATGGTTGTCCAGCTCATTATTCGAGAATAGTTAGAAACTGGCTGGACGAAAATTATCCAGAAAGATGGATCGGGCTGTGGAGGACCAGTCGCCTGGTCTCCACGATCCCCTGACCTAAATCCATTAGATTTCTTTGTGTGGGGATTTCTAAAAGAAAAAGTGTACCAGACTCCCGTAACCACAAGAGATATGCTAATAGATAGAATCAGGAATGCATGTGATTAAATAAGGCCTTATTTGAATAATGCTATACCACGTTCGATCATTCGTAGATGTGAATTGTGTATTGAACAATTGGGTTTACATTTCGAGCAACTACTTTAGATTTTGTATGTTTGTCCTGACTATCCAATAGCATTTTAGTTGTAAATAATTAATTTAATTTGTTAAAAATAATATTGGAAAATTAAACAAATTAATATTCTGTTTTTTTTGTGTTTATTTGGAGTTAGGAATTATTGCTGTGTTTAAAAACACAATCTAAACGATCATCTTAATTACTTGTAATGCCCAAATCGAAAATGTAAAAAAAAATATTATTTTCCCATAAATAATTAAAAATGCATCGAACCTTAAAAATCGAAATATCTCAAAAACGGCTAACTATAACGAAAACTCACAGTTTTTTATTCAAAAAGCAAAAAATTGCACTAAGAAAAAAATTTCGGTCATTTTAATACACTACAGGTACAGTAGAGAGCGCCCTCTAGCGGCTACAGTAAAACTATGCCCATGGTTCTTTTTGTCGTACCAAAAAACCCTTGTGTACCAATTTTCACTGTTATACATCAAATATTGTCCGAAATATTTAAAAAAAAACTATTTTAGAAAGTAAATTTAAACACCCTGTATTTCGGAGGCCACGCATTTTTCGACCCATGTTTATATAGACTTTATGCATTAATTTTAAAAGTTCTATCGAATCTTAAAGTTATGCAACAATAAACTGAAACACCCTGTATGTAATTTCCAGAATGGATAAGAAAAGGTGGATGCGCAACTAATTTCTAGCTTTGATTCTCAATTAAGTGTATTTGAGACAAGAACCCAATGTAATTATCATCAACACATACAACTTACAGCTTACGTCAGAGCCAAAGATTGATAACAAGCCTCATGATGTTTAGGCAACACGTACAACTAAGTGCTAAGTCAACGTCTTGGCGAAAAACCTACATAATGTCAAAAAAACAGCATAATGTCGAAAAAATCGGCATACAATCGTGCCGAACGTTCGTCGTCTCCCAAGCTCTTACCACAACTCAACATTTCAAGTGCTGCCATCTTCATGTTGAAGTCGGAAACTATTCAGACTACCCTCGTATATGGAGTGCTATTTATGGATGTATGGTCAATCCTAAAAACTTATGACATACGTTATAAAGCTTGTGGTTATTCTTTTAGGGACCTCCAGGTACAGGAAAGACATTCCTAGGTCTGGAAATAGTTAAAAATCTTCTTAAAACGACGTCAGAATACCCACTTTTGGTGGTTACTTACAAAAACCATGCCCTCGATCAGTTTTTGGAAGGATTACTTGATGACACGAAAGATATTATCAGGTATTTTGACTGAGACTAATGGCATCTTTTGGTGATCTACAGGGTGTTTTTATACAATCTCTCGTAAATATAGTATACAAGGGCTGATTCAAAAATAGGGATCCATAATACTGCCCAGTGGCAGCAACACCTAACGCATTGTCATTTTTTTTATGAACTAGTGATATTATTGATAGAATCCATGGAATGATATAGCAGTGTCGCATATACTCCGAAATGGGAGACAAACTTGAAATTGAAAAGTTAATGGATGAATTTATGTCTAAAAATTCTAAAGGTAGTTCTGTATTTACACTTTTTTTGCAAAGCAGTTTAAATCATTTGGTGTAATAAAGCTTTTTACGAATTTATTTCGTGATAAACCTACCTGACCCTTTGGGACTGAACCTGTTTCACCGGCCCTGATTCTAGAGATTGAAATCTTTTCCTGGGACACCCTGTATACTGGACTCCATGTATTCTTTTTTTAGATTTGGAGCACAATCAAAAAATCCAAAGGTATCAAAATTAACTGCAAAACATCAGCGGAATGAACAAAACGACGAATTTAGAAATAGAACAATCGATAGTTGTTATGGAAAATACGCCGACGCCGAGACCCGATTAAAACAAATAGGATCGCATCTTGAGATCATCAATACTGGAGAGGTAGTCATACAGATTTCTATATTGCCTTTGCCCGTGTCTTTGGGGGCAAACTGGAATCAACTAAAAAACTACACAACCAATATCGAATGGCTACTATTCAAGGTATGTTCACATTACACAGTAAGTTGCAGACAAATTTCCCAGCGCAATTTTCAGCCTCCGCACCTCGAAGCATAAGGTATATTCTTTAATTCACCGGTTGAGCTACCGGTGCAACCGGTTAGCCAAATTTGCGTCCTTTAATTTCCGGTTGTACATCAAACTTATCTCTTCAGGGTGTCCGCAAAGTTGGGGTTTTCCTTTTCAGAAACAACTACCCTTGAAATAACAAAGGTAATGTGTAGTGAAACGAGGGCGACCAAGTAAAAAAAAATAAAGGAAAAAGTACTCACTCTCCAGTTGACGAGAAGGGCTAAGTACGTCTCTGCCCGAAATCATACCGCTCCAACAGAAAATGAAATCAGCTGATGCGCTACCGAGCAGACGTCGGCGGTGGTGCAGACCAAACAAATAAGACGGCGTTGCCGCGTTTTCAGTTTTTAGGTAAATGTACTTTATAGGTATTGTTCGAAGATATCGCCGTTTGATTCAAAAACACAGGTGCGTGCACGACGTAGCCAAGCATCGGTGCAGGCTTTGAGAATGGAGTCCCTCCCCCGAATGAAAGCACCAGCTTGTTCAATTCTGAGACGAAGTTCGTCAACCGTATACACTTCAGTTTTGTACACTAAGCGTTTCATTTCTCCCCAAAGAAAAAAAATCACATGGTGTTGAGTCTGGAGATCGCGGAGGCCACGCTACGGGTCCATTACGTCCGATCCACCTATTCGGAAATAATTCATCCAAAAACTCACGCACTTCGCGTCTAAAATGGTGCACCATCGTGCAGAAACCACATTGATTGTCTTACACTTAATGGCACATCTTCTAAGAAGGAAGGCAAAATGTTGCGTAAAAAGTCTAGGTATTGCATCCCGTCCAATCGATTTACCAAACATGAGTGTTGCGAAAGTTATTCACCCCATTACGCGTGAACGTAGATTCGTCTGTCACCAATATGCACTTCAAAAAGACCGGATTATTGTCAAGTTGATGCAACAACCACTCACAAAACCGCACTCTTGCTGGAAAATCGTCAGGTTGAAGGGCTTGGACACGTTGGACGTGAAACGGATACAGCCCCTCTTCACGCAGCGTTTGCCACACTTTAGTTTTTGATACTTGCACTTCTCTAGCCACGTCTCTAGTGCTTGTTGAGGGATTCTCGTCTACGCGATTCAGTAGTTCTTCCTCAACTTGCACCATTCGTGTTTGCCTAGGCCTCCCACTGTGCCCACCTCGAAATTCCTCCAAATGGCCCGTATCCCTGACTCTCTGGACCAGGTACACAAAGCTGCGGGGCCTTGGATGATGTCGTCTAGGGAAACGATCTGCATACACTCGCGACGCCTATGTAGCATTTTGAAGACATTCGCCATAAATTAACAACATATCAACGAGTTCATTATTGGTGTATGATTGTGTCATTATTATTATTTTTTTTTGAAACGCAATCGATTATACGGGTTCGTTACCTCTACACGCGTGACCGTAACCGTCGGTTGAAGGTTGCATACTGACCTGACACATTGACCCCGACCCAGTTCTGTCGTCGGGTTCAGCTAGTGTCCTAGTACCAGTCGGGGATATCGCGTGTCGCGGCTACAGGACGGTATTCAGATATTTTTGATGTTGCAGAGCCCTTTATCTCGGTTCCCTTACGACATTGGTGTATATGGTACTAAGAAAAATTGCTTATGTTTTCAAGATCTACACATCGTGTAAAGGAAAACCCCAACTTTGCGGACACCCTGTATATTGATGGTGGATATGCCACCGGTGCCAACAGCATCCACCGACGTTCGGGCTCGGTTGATCCACGATATTCTAACCTCTACATTTTATCAATTTTTGACAACTACAGTTTTGTGTGAAAAAATGTAAGAAGAAAAGATTGAAGTTAGCAGCATATGAGTCGCGTGAAATTTAATGTTTTTTTCAACACAATTTGAAATAAACCGAGCATCTGAAAGCAAGTCAATTTGTTTTGAATTATGCATATCGACGATCTCAAATCAATACCTCGTAAGTCCGAAAATGTCGATTTTCTGATTTTGTTCTGTTTTTATTCCCTTATGAATACATAGAAAATCCATATCGATAGTTCTTATACGGGAAGCATCGACGATCTCAAATCAATGCCTCGTATTGATTTGAGATCGTCGATATCTGAAAATTTCTTGGTTTTCTGATTTATAGTTCTTATATTGATTCTCGGAGCGCAAATTCTCTCCGCTGGATAACTTCTTCATCAGAATCATCACTCGAATCGCTTAACAAACCTTCCACGACAATACCAACTGCTGCATACATTTCCAAAATGATTTTAAATGATACGGTGTTCAAATTAACAAGTATCCATTTACGATAAAACAAAGGTTAAGGTTAGGTTTTCTCATATGACAGCAACCTGAACCAGATGCGACGTCATCACATCAGCTGTCAACCCTGAGTTCACCGGATCCATCCGTGATGGAATCAACCGGTGAATTAAAGAATATACCTATATACACTGAAGAAGGTTTACTCATGTGCTATCATAGGGCAAAACGGTTGCATTATGTCAGTGTCAATCGCCATTTTTTTGATGCCACATGGTTTCCAGATTGTGCACTAACGCCGCATGCAATATTGCCGGCTCTTCGCAAAAATCTAAGACTGTGGTATAATTTTATAGTGCTCATTTCTATTGATATATGGAAGACTTTATAACGCTATGTGTTATTAACTTATTTTTGTTGTTAGTAGATGGTCTATGGGGATTAGATCTCAGTAGTTCCAAAATCCGCCACCAGAGGCGCTGGCGTCGCGCGCCATTGATAGGTTGTTGGACGGAATCTGTAATCGAAATTCATGAGTTGGGGATTCCGCCGCTAGATGGCGCTGTCAAACCAAACGGAATCTGTGTGTCATTGGACACCTGTCATGCGTCATTGGGCATCTCACGCATAGATGGCGTTACACGTCATCTGTCATACGTCATTGGACACCTGTCATTGATGGGTTGAGCATCCAGAGGAGCCCACCACGCTATTTAGGTCACGCCTTGCTATATACGATTTAACGATATACCGTCGGTCCATCGATCCGCTATTTTTCGATGCACCCCTGTATACACGTTCTGAATGCCCCCCGTAATCCACGCCAACACCAGACAGGTGCGACATCGGCGCCATCTATGCGCGAGATGCCCAACCCATCAATGGCAGCTGTCCAATGACACATAGATTCCGTTAGGTTTGTACACCGCCAAACAAATCGGCGCCATCTATGCGCGAGATGCTCAACCCATCAATGACAGGTGTCCAATGACGTATGGCAGATGACGTGTAACGCCATCTATGCGTGAGATGCCCAATGACGCATGACAGGTGTCCAATGACACACAGATTCCGTTTGGTTTGACAGCGCCATCTAGCGGCGGAATCCCCAACTCATGAATTTCGATTACAGATTCCGTCCAACAACCTATCAATGGCGCGCGACGCCAGCGCCTCTGGTGGCGGATTTTGGAACTACTGAGATCTAATCCCCATAGACCATCTACTGTTGTTTTTTACTTATTTGTTAAATCAGCAGCATCAATAACACAGGCCGTTATAAAATCATCCAAATATCCTAGTTATTTGACACTTTGAGAACAGTAAAAAAAATCTATTTTTAAAAATATGTGTATTTTTGTCTAAAATGTTCATAAAGAATATAATTAATGACAGCATGGTTGCCAGATTTTTCATAAGAATTATAATGCAGGAATATCTAATCACATTTCCATAACACTGATAATCAAAATGTAAAAGTTTTATGTAAAATATCATTATACATAATTTAGGAATTTTTACAGCATCGTTAAAATATATCGTACTTCGTATGATTCAAACAGGTTGACTATATATTATCAGGATATCTGACTTTCGATTCACTTTTATCAGATTCCTTTTAAGCAATCAATATTTAAAAAAGTAACAAAACCCTTTATGTTGAAGTACATATTCAAACTTGAAATCCACGGAAATTGTCGTGAGATTCTCATATCAACTACAGCATAAGGATATTAACAGCGAAGCTCTACAAATCACTCAATTCAGGATGAACTTGATTGTGAAACACACTAGCCATGGTTCTGAAGCACTCAATTGTCGAGAAAACACTAGTCTGATCTTGAATGTATCATAGTGCTCCACATATGTGACTGTTGAATCGATTAGAAATCCTCAATAGTCGTAATATTCTTACAAATACATGCTTCCAATATAGAATCTCTCTATCACTAAACCCTTTTGCAGGGGATCAGGATGCTCCGTTTGTTGATTACAATCACCTAGAAAAAAATGAGTTTCTTATACAATTTCACCAGCATGTTTAGTTTAAATAAGAACGACTTTAATAAAATTTGTGTTTACGAAAAACCTACCTTCGAGACCATCCGGCTATAAAGGCACAAATAAAAGATGTAACCTAAAAATGACAGCAACAAAGCATACTTGTCAAAGCTGGCATTTTTTCCGGATGCCACAGTGTTGTCAGGTTGTGGTCCGGCAACACCGCACCATTCTCCCATATGAGTTGACTCCCCATGCTCAACTATGATCATGGAGGTTAGAAGGTGTAAATCATGGAACGCACAAGATGCGGTGTTGTCAAATGAACCAATAATGCAAGTATGCAGAATTTGTGGCGATCCTGTCCGGTCTAAAATTTGGGCGTACAGAATAAACTAACGCATATTTTCGATATGCATCTTAATTCAAGGAACCGGTGTAACATATTGGCCGGTAATTTGATGTTCGGATGCAAATTAACTTTTTGTAGCTAAATCAAGTGCTTCATAACGTATTTATTGATTATCATATGGGAATTAAAGACCCATCGTACACAAACCGAATAATTCTCTAGTTTGAGAGACATTTTAGAAGAAATCGACCACATTAATAAATTAGATCTAAGACGGCTTCTCATTGGTTGAATTTGTGAATCACGTGCTGTACAAATTGTAGTACTTCTATTTAATTACCAAGATGTTGGCTTTTTGTTTCCAGACAAAAGACGGAGGTGACCTACAACGTGAAACGCTGTCACTTATACATCCGTAAGTGGATACATATATCACCTCAAAAAAAAAGATTTATTTATTATTTTTTTTTTCACTACTAACCAGAGAAATCATTATTGATCGCAATGCCTGATTGAGAAGTAGCACTTTCTCTCCATAGATAAATAATAAAAACAAAAAACCTGTGTCTGAACTGTTAGACCGATTGAGAAACAAGTAATTTTGAGTATAGCTATTCCTTCTTGAATACCCCAATAATCGATAATGTTTGAAAACTGCTTTTAATATTAACAAAGAGAAAATGTTTATACGTTACTCCACTTGGATGGCCCAGTTGAAACTAAATCGCATTGTAGGACGCTTTTCTTTCCTCCTTGAGTTTCATAGTCTTTCCTCTCCTTCAGAAAGACTGTGATATTTCTATAGTCAACGCCAAACAAAGTGGCGTGCACGTCATCACGATAAAAATTCCCCGACCTAATGCCTAGGTTTCTATCACAAACAATTGCTCTATTGCAGTTTCATATTAATGTGATATATAAATTGTAAAATGGTCATTACTCTCTTATTATGGTTAATAGTCATATAAACATTGTTATTAAAATATCACATAAGTTGCTTTCTGATAAATTTAGACGCATTATGCGAAATAAAATGTTTTGCAAACGCTCCAATCACTTATCGACATGTAAACGCACTAAACCGATTTCGCAGCGTTGACACATTGTCACCTTGAAACTTATTTAAACTGGGAACTGACATTTGTATTAATTTTGACACTGAATCAATTTGTGGCATTTCAAATCTTTATAAATCCTTTGGCCCCGCATACTGTAAATCAACAACTGTTTGTTTCAAAACAAAATTATTCATTTTACGAGTAGATAAAGGCAATTTTGGTATATAAAGATGCCCAAACAGTTAAATAGTCGGTGTAAGGAACTCGTGGCCTCGTTAATGCACTACTTTGAGCAAGAAAGGGACAACAACGGGCCTTTGTTGCCTTTAAATGCTGTTCAAGAGGTAGGTTACTAATAATTATATGTAATGTATATTAATAATAGTGAAATTTTATTTCATTTTTTGTAGCGTGTTGCTGCTGCTTTAAAAATTAGTTTAAGCACAGTTAGTCGTATTTCCGAGGGTGTGAAAAGTGATGCAAATTTAGAATCGCCCAAGAAAAAGCGGAGTTATATTAAACGTGTAACCAACACAGCGACATTGGATACAAGTGCCATTCGAGAAGTGATCTATAATATGTATCACAAAAGTAAGATCTTATTATAATAACTTATCAGAAATTTGCATTAATTTGTTAACTAAATTATAATGTCATATTACACATGGTTTCAGAAGAACAAGTTACGATACAAACTTTATGGTCTCGATTAAGAGATAGGGCATTATTTGATGGTAGTGCCACGTCTTTAAGGCGGTTGCTTAGAGATCTTGGATTTAAGTGGCTTAAGGACAATCCGCGACGAGGGCTCATGGAACTACCAAGTATAGCTTTGAAAAGGGTGGAATTTCTAAGGCAATACAATCAAGCCAAGGTTGAGGCCTTATACCAGTTTGTCTTCCTCGATGAAACTTGGATATTTCAAAATGGGACCATAGGTCGCTCTTGGCAAAATGGAAACCAAAAAAGCGTGAAAGCTATTAAAACAGATGGTAAAAGGTATGTACTTTTACACAATTTGCACTATAAAATTTAAAACTAATATATTTTAGATACATTATATTACATGCTGGAAATGAAAATGGGTTTATTGAGGGTAGTGAAGCGATATTTTCTTCGAAAACAAAATTGAGTGATTACCATGGAGAGATGAACCAGGACAATTTTTTGAAATGGTTTCAACATCAGTTATTAGAAAAATTGGAGAGTCCATCTATGATTATACTGGATAACGCCCCTTATCACAGCATGATATTGAACAAAGTGCCCAACAATGCATGGACAAAAAAAAATATGCAAGACTGGTTGACAAATCAAAACATACCATTTTTAAACACAATGTTTAAAACAGAGCTATTGAGTATTGTTGCTCGGTACATAATGCTTCTTAATTATATATATTTTGGTCGACAGTTTATATTTCTTTTGTTTATTCCTATTCTTAAAATAACTGCTTTTTTAGAAACAAACCACCTAAAATATACGTGATTGATGAATTGGCGGAACAACATGGGCACAAAGTTCTTCGTCTGCCTCCTTACCATTGTATATTTAACCCTATTGAGTTAATTTGGGGCATAGCAAAAGGTTACTATAACAGACATATTGGTAGAGATGGTAACAGTGAAAAAGACTGTTTGGATATGTGGAACGAGGCTCTACAAACGGTTACCCCAAACATGTGGAAAAATAGTGTTCGACATACTGAGCAAGAAATTTTTAAATGGTATGAAAGAGAACGAATTTTTGATCGACCAGACATCGAACCTTTAATAATCAACTTTGAGAGTGATGAAGATTCAGATTCAGACAGCGCTGAAGAAAGAAACTCCGACTAACTTTATTGTACAGAAAAAGCTTACACCAGTAGCTTACCTAATTTTAGAATGCATTTTTCTGTATGAATTCTGTAAAATAAATACCATGCATAAAATTTGGAGGACCCCATTTGGATTTTTATTCAGTACCTTTAAGCTATCAATTAAATATGGTAGTTTCATAGTGTCATCTGATCAATAATTGTCATACTTAATGATTATGCAAGTACAGATCTATAATTTTATTATACTATTATTTTTGTTCTCATTTGAGGTTAATATTGCTTATAAACCTAGATATGTAAATAATAAATTTTATTATTTTACAAAAAGTTTGGCAACAATGTAAATTTTTCAACACACCCACCTTGATGACGTGCACGCCACTTTGTTTGGCGTTGACTTATACATATAAATTGTTACTCTAACATTTTTGTTTTTCTATTTGACACCAGGTAATAAGTTATTCTAAAGTATTTGTGGAATGAGCTGGAGATGTTATGACCGAATATTTTGTGATGCATGTTAGTAGTGGAAAAACTATACCTCGTTCGAGAAGGGCATTTATTATTGGTCAAGCACATTATATCCTTCGCGACTTATAAAAGTGCTCCTCCAATAATGATAAATTTCGCAAAAAGGTTGTGCTTACTTCATGTGCGGTCCATTACGAAGGGTAGATATAGTTCACGTCGGATTTATAGTTTGTTATAGATGATCGTTAAAAAGCCAACAAGGGGTAGGACGTACATCAAAAAAATAAGAAAAAAAGTTGCTATGAATTTGAAAGATGCTCCTCTCTCCGAGGTATGTATTTACTTATTCTTGAAAGTTTCTTTGTCTATAAACAACGATGAATATTCCATAAAGAAGCAGAAAAAATGTAAACAGATGAATTTGTCGTGAACTATACCTAAGCTACTACGAGGGTTGTTTCAAAAGTAGAATTCCCACTTGTTTTTCAGGCGCAATGATTTTTTATTTGAAAAAACGAATTCACCATTGTAGTGACGGCGGTGAAGGGCGCTTCTTGTGGGGAACCTTATTTTTAAGACAATCCTCGTAGTTACACATTGCAATAATAAAAAATCGGAAAATACAGTTTCAGCTGGTTCTGACCATGCTTACTGCTTATTTTAGCATCATGAAAAATAAGACGATTTTGTTGTTCATGTCGACGATCAGAACTCTACAACGAGAAATAAACGACGCTATAAACGATGTAGAAGTCAACCCTACATCTATACGAACTCGTACAAAACTGGGCGAGTTTTCCGACGAAAAATTGGAAAAATTGAAAACATTTGTTGACAACATCGATACGGGAAAACTAAAGGTAAGTAATTTCATTTAACAATCATTTATCACCGTCACGTTTCTCAACACGGTTTTATTTAAGGCTTGTTCCAGACTATCCATATCCGTGTTTTGGTCAGACAGCAAGGTTTCATCGCGTACAAATAGGAAGCAGGATCCGTTATCAATAATCGCGGGCAGGTCACTGATACATATATATGTATATATATATATAAACAACAAGTAGGAAAATAATGGGCAAAATCCGCAAAAAGGAGGAAAGTGGAATCGAGCAGAAAATAGGATAGGTAACCCGAGCGATACGTATTTCTGCTGGTTGGCTTCATCAGGCCCGAAATGAATGCACATATGCAACTACAAAAGTAGATACACATGCCCACACATCCGGATACGGGTGTAACCTGAGGAAACGAAGTTGGAGACGAAAAAAAAGACACACGAAGTCCACAACAAGAGCCAACCTACACATTGTAGTATAAAATGGCTCGAAGACCTTGAATTTTCAAGGCGACAAATAACCACAACCACGCGGCCGGTTATAGCCACTTGCTGTGGTACTTCAAGCCCAAAGGATCTACATAGAGAAAATTATCATGCGGAGAAAGGTATATAACATATATGTGCCAATTTCCCAATTAACAATTAATTGTATTTTGTGTCCAACGTTGGCTTTGGCAATGACTACTGCTCATATATATATATATACATATATAAATGGTCAGAGGCGGCGTCCCAGAACTTACAAACTGCTTCCTATTTGGCAAGTATTCACGAAATAGAGCTAGCTCGATATTTATTATTCCATTCGATTTTTCTCAATACTATACGTAAATTGACACAGACAAAAACCTGCGTTGTCACAAATGTATACATATAGTGTAAGAGTTATCTTCTATATTATCCAGTACTTCCTCTAATAAGGTGAGAAGTGCTTACATGGTGGTTGAGTTTTTTCGAAATCCAAATTGTGCTACAGATACTATAGATTTACTTTCGCAATAGCTTTTTAATTTCCCTTTCACAATAATCTAAAAGATGTTCTCAATGAAATTATAAGTATAATTTCAGTGGATGTGATAAGTATGATGTCCGATAATTATATAGTGGATACCAAATAAAACCCGATGCACGTCATCGATCTGGAGCTGTGCGCTGTTGCCAGAATTTGCCCATTTTCTTTTAAGCAAATAAATTTAATAAAATAAATTGTTTATATATACCTACCATTTACTATAATACCATTATATTAAAAATAAATAAACTTGTTGTAAAATTAAATTCCTTTCTGAATAAAAACACCTGATTTTGGTAGATATTCAATGATATGAGCTCTTTACACCGACTGTTAAGTTGTTTTGGCATTTTGGATACTTTACACCACTTCACAGTAACTGTTGTTCTGAAAAGAACAATTTTTAATTGGCAAGGCAACGATTCAAAGCTCAAATAGCGCAAAACTCACAAACGAAACAATAAAGAACTAATAGTACGACAAAAGGACAATGGCAACTGATGTCAACAAATGAGAAGTGGCAACCTCAATTTTCTCTGCACGGCACTACCAACCGAATCGAGACGGGGAAATTTAAACTTCAAGTAGAAATGTCACATTGAATGTAGTCAACTGTTGGTAACCATGATTTTTATGAATGACATCACCTATGACGTGCATCGGATTTTATTTGGTATCCACTATATCGACAGAGTCTCTGTCCCCTTTGTTGGCGTCTTTGTTTTTGCTGGTGTCTCATAGGTCGTGCTATGAGATCATTCGGCTTCAAACCGCTAAAAATGTGATGCTAGAATTTACTATTGATTAATAACATAACGTATTCCACCTTCCAAGCAATGTTTTTTTTTTAGGGTTATATGTCAACCTTACCTCCGTTGCACATTAATCAACTGACAGCAGATGAATATGAGGATCCATTTAAAATGCCTCTTCCTAAACGGTGGCAAATTTACAAAACTTTTCTGAAAGGACATGTCGATAAACTTCATGTAAAAATTGATAGGTTGGTATTTGTAAAATGTGCTATTTCTGTTAGGGAATGTTCTCAGTGAAATCAACTGGCGACTGCTATTAAAGAAGAATCTAAACCCTATTTCACGAGTATCCATCACATTTTGACGTCTACTGAGGTGAACAGCTGATCAGCTAGTGACATATTTGTATTGGTCTGTAACGTAGCCAATAAATAATGAATCGGGTGTAAATCTAGTAAATTTGTACGCAAATGGAATTTTCAAATAAAAGAGTTATTAGCAAGTACAAAATGAATCTGTAGCGTACCAAAAACCAAAACAAAATACGGCTGTCTACCTGCCGTTGACAGATCTGTCAGAATTATGTCATTTGTCGATATGGGGAATTTTGAAATATTACTAAATAATCAGATGTTATCGTAGCGTGATGGATACTCGTGAAAAAGACAATAGGGGGATCATGGGGGCCATAACCTAGAGATATTGAGATCGACCACTAATATTTTTTGCGGGGGAGTTTGATTTGTTCGTGAAATTTTTTCAAAATCACCGTCCCAAGTTAACTGAATGCACAAAGTCTTCTATTTTGGATTTCCTAAGAGAAGACTTTCTAAAATCCCTTCGTATCTAAGGCGGCGATTTTTGGGTCCATTTCATTTCAATAAGAAAACTTCATATAAGCTTATTGCGATTTAACATTTAACAGGATTGTAAAGTTTCCAAAATAAATAATTTGTCACTCCACACATCACATTAACAATGTTTTAAAAACCACCTGATTGTGACTATAAAAGTCTATAATAAGCTTCCCTTTGAGATTAAAAAACTTCGGAATCAGAGCATCACGCGCGGCAAAGATGCGTATTTTTGAGACGACCCTCGTGTCTCAATTTCGAAATTTTTCGCAATTGTAATACTTCTTCACCACTTTTGGGCATAAGAGGTGAACAACTTACGTGAGTATACCAGGTTTCAGTGGGAGACGAAAATAGAATTTTTTCCCTACAAAGTCCAATATTTCCAATGAGAAAATTTTATAAAATCTGTGATCCATGTTCTAATGAAATTTTTAATCGCCATATATTTCCAGTGCCATCGCTGACTACAAGAAAGCGTATATGAGGTTCGACTCAGTCAGTTCGCCAGACAATATAAGACTTATGAAAAAAATGAAAGTCATAGGAATGACTACAACCTGCGCAGCCAGAATGCGCGATAGTTTGGAGAGCGTGAAATTCCCCATTGTCGTGATTGAAGAGGCAGCAGAGGTGTTAGAATCACACGTTATTTCAGTGAGCTTGACTAATTTTCTATAACTGAAACACATATGAATGCGTGAAAAGTATACCCTATTTCACGAGTATCCATCACATAACATACACATTGAAGAATGCTTTGTCACGTGCTATCCATACGGCAACACGGTTGATTTATGTCAGGTTGCCAGATTGTACACGAACGTCGTATGCGACGTTGCCTGCTCTTTGCATAAATCTGAGACTTAGAGATTTTATAGTGCGCGTGTCTAATGACATATGGAAGATTTTATCCCGCCATGTGTTATTAACAAATTTTTGTTGTTTTGAAAAATAAGCAGTCACTTACTTGTTAAAGCAGCAGCGTCAACAACACAAGCCATTATAAAATCATCCACATATCCTAGCTATTTGAAATTTGAGAACAGTAAAAATTTGAGAACAGTAAAAAATCTTCTTGGGAATATATTTTCATCTAAATTTTATATTATATGAACATATCAACAACATTTATGGTTCATTTCTGGTGATGGTCTTCTGTAGCACCTGCATGGAAAAATTGTTAGAATTAGTGATGAAAACAAATTCGTTTCAAAAATAGATAGGTTTATCTTATTCCATTCCTACCTGACTTGAAATGTAGTCATGATCATTAGCAGCCATTTTACTTGAAGCGTTTTTCTTTAACTTTTCTAAATAAAAGAGTTGGTAGCAAGCACAAAATGAATCTAGCGTAAAAAAAACAACAAAATACGGATATGTCTACCTGGCGTTGAGAACTCGCCCAGAACTAATTGTGTCACTTGTGGATATGGGGAGCTGTGAAATATCGCTAGATAATCAGCTGTTATTCTCTTTAATCTAGTTGAATATTTTTTTTTCAGGCTGTGACAAAGGACTGTAAGCACTTGATTTTGATCGGCGATCACAAACAGCTCCGTCCCGCGGTCGCCGATTTCGAAGTCGAGACGAAATATCGACTTGGTGTCAGTCTTTTCGAACGTATGGTAGCCAATGGCGTGGAATGTCATACTTTGGACGTCCAGCATCGTATGAGGCCCGAAATATCAAGCCTGATCGTACCTTACATCTACCCCACTCTAAAAGACCACGAATCTGTCAAAAAGTATCCGGACGTCAGGGGAGTTGCAGGAAACATGTTTTTCTTGCACCATGAACAACCAGAATCAAGTAAGGGACATGCAGCGCCTCAAATTGCCTAAAAGCAGCTCGCGTTCAGATGGAATGAAAATATTTTCGCGGGGCGCCACTTTGATAGGCTGTAACTTTTTGTTTTTAGAGATAAATTAATAATTTTTTCACCGTCTTGTTTCATTTTTCTTAAAATTTCATTTGAGCTGATAACAAAAAAATGGTAAACTTGTCTATTTATTGTAGGACGCCTTTATGGCCTCCTTGATTTTCATAGTTTTCCCTGTCTTTCAGAAAGGCGTTCCATTTTGAGGTTATGTTACGAATATCTATTTGCATCAAATTGTTCATGTTTTCGATTTTTATCATCTGTTTTGTCAGCCGGAAATTTCCTACAAGTCGAAAAGAAAACATAAATTAGGAGATATAGAAATACCAGCCATTGTGAAGGTGAGAAAGGGCTAAGAAAATCAACGAGGCCATAAAGGTGAACGACTGGCGATAAGGCCCTAATTTTTTTATATTTTCCTAGACTCTGGCGAATGTAGCAAGGAAAATAAGCACGAAGCAGATTTTCTTCTCAAGTTCGCCGAGTATTTATTACAAAACGGTTATAAACCAGAGGAAATAACCATTTTGTCGGCTTACTTGGGTCAAGTAACCACACTGCACAGAAAAAGACGTTCCTGTTCCCACCCTGGCATGCAACAGATTCCTATAAAGTCTGTTGATGATTACCAGGTAACTGTTGTTCTCCAACATTTTTAGGTAACTTTCAAAAAAAAACAGGTTGACTCTGCACTTCCTACTGGCAATGTGGTTTCTACTTCTTTTCGGTGAACTAGTTCAATAGGTCGTGCTTACTAAAACGAACTAGTTCTTGCAACTAGTTCCCGAACGAACTATTTTACACAAGAATATCAACGTAAATTGTCTTACATAGTAGCTATGAGATTGAAACGTTTTCTAACAATTTCAAATAATGTGAAATACACTTCGTTTTCAACGGTTCCCAAGATTTTTCATAAATAATATATTTTATTGACTGAATCAAAGCAGTTACGACACAAAGTCAAAGAATGACAGTGACGCACATGGTTGCCACATTAATTAAAACTAGTAGATCCTAGGACGTTTAACAAAATCTACTTTATTTCTTCGATGCCTTACCCAACATTACGGGGCGTATGTTTTGTAAACACTAGAGCTAGTATAAATTCTATTTACTACCTAATACCATACCTCTCTTACGAACTGTAAAGGCAAAAATTGTTCGGTCTCAAAATATTTCGTCAAATTCTTTTGCTTGTCGACCCAGAGGTTTCGGCATTTTAGCAAAATGCTTAAAAGGACACCTGAAAGTTTTGTAAAAAAACTGTTTTTATAAAATAACAATGCAAACATTGAGGCTGAAAGAACGAAAATTACATGACAAGCTCTGCGACAATGTCACAACACAGAAAACGGTTACCACCATAAATGTACCCGGGAAATTCAAAGTATACTTACCAATTTAGGATATATTTTACATTAACGTTGACATTCAAATTTACTTAATATGACGTAATTGATTTGTTTCGGTGAATAAACTACACATACCTCTGATCAGGGTTGCCAAATGTTCTGCTTTCGGGAGAATGAGCCTCTTTATTAACGTTTTGTTCTGCTGTCACTATTTCCCTCAAATTACCTCTATTATGACACTAAAATGATAGTTTTTATACTTCCATACTAATCTTCGGTGTATTTATGTTTTCTGTTTGTTTTCATATTATAAGATATGCATTTCAGGTCTGTTTTGTTATTATTGTTGGGGATAAACATGTTGAATTGCTTTAATCTCGACACTTCCTATTGAACATAGAGACGTCATAATGCCAGTATTCTTAGTGCACTACTAACGTTCGCCGAACAACAAAAATGACATCATTATGACGATGTAATAGGGAGTTTTCGCATGCCACTTAACGTGCTGCGGTATTTTCTAGGCACGTTATTTTGACAGATACGCATGCTCAGCTGTGGGTTTCATGATAGCGGGCACTAATTACGTTACCGCCTACCGTAATTTGAGAACACTTAGCGCGAGGCGGTATATGATCGTTTCGTGGATACTCGGAACCAATCGGGCGATGATCGTTATGATTTGAGGTTAGGTGCCGTTAATGGGTGATTTTACTTAATTTGAAAAAAAATCGGTTGGCCTGTGGTTTTCATTTTTATTCATAAAGTTTGTATTATGTGCACTGCGAAAGAAATCAAGCGAACGGGGAACTTATCTGTTGAGAATGCTGTGCAAAATCCCAGTCTCCAACTCCTCGTTGTTCACTGCACGTATAGCGCCCAAATCAAGAAGTTCTTGTACATCCATTTCATCAAAGACACCTTTACAGCCAAAGTATTGAGGTTGTAGCGTTGTAGGGTACAGCTTTAAGGTCACAAGAAACACAAAAGACGTCATTTTTTAGTCGATGACGTCATTTTGGCGTCATCATGTTCACTGGACACTGACAAGCGAGACATTCGGTATTTCTTACCCCACATAGCAAACAATCTTACCATCTTGGCTATTTTCATCTTGTTTTTAGGGAGAAGAAAACAAAATTATTTTACTCTCCCTGGTAAGAAATAACGAAGAATCGAAAATAGGTTTTTTGTCGAACGAGAAAAGGGTATGTGTGGCCCTCTCAAGAGCCAGAGAAGGGCTTTACATTATGGGAAATATTAAACACCTAACTTCAAGGAGTAGAGTAAGTATATCAAGTATTTTCGAAACTAATTTTTACCAGCGCCCTGGCCCCCAAGATCTCCATAGGTATTCAATTTTTTGAAATTTGTACGATTTTCGACAACTTCGAAATTATTAAAAGATATGAAAGAAAGAATATGAAAATGTTGAAAATTATGCTAGTTTTTAATGTTTCATATTCGTAGTTATGGAAAGACATAGAGCATACCTTAATATCCCAAAATGACGTCGGACCAAAAATAAGTTTGAAATGCCAACTACACAATCGTATCACTCATGTGGACTCTTGCAAGGATTTCGACCATCTTGAACAAGGAGGTTGCAGAAGAAAATGCATGAAAGAGCTCGATTGTGGACACGTTTGTCCTCAACAATGTCATGGTCGAGATATAGGACACATCGCGGAATATTTTTGTCGTGAAAAGTGTGAAAGGTAAAGATTTTACAAGATCCACCCCTAGCCCAATAAAGCTACATGTAATTATTTTTGATTTCTCTACATGAACTCTATTAACATTAACACACATTCAGTCAATGCTTCAACACTTCAATATCCTCCAGGCAAATTATTTTTTTTCTGCGTGTTTTATCGTAAATATCCCATTTGCGCACAAAATTGTCACTGCTATTAAACCCATTTTTGATCATTATCAATAATTATCCATATTTTCCTCTTTATTTCTCTCTCTATATATTTATCTCACTTTCTCCGTCTTTCTTTTTCTTTCTCTTCTTGATGTGTTTCTATCAATTGATAAATTCATGGATGATCTTTCAGTACACAGTGCTGCCAACCATACAACAAATTCTTGCTAGAAACATTTTGCGTTTTTATGTGTATTGTGGTTTTGATTTTGAGGTAAATCTCAGAAACAGAAATCTTATTTTTCAATACTGTAATTGTATCAAAGTTCTATGCTTGAATTGAAAAGTTGTTTAATATAAGGAAAGGACAAAAAATTAGACCAAGCTATAATTTCGTGACGAAATCCAAATGCCTGTTTTACGCTTTTGAAATTTGGCCATTCATTATTTCACGAGTATCCATCACAGTAGAATGACAGCTGGTTCTCTAGTTATACTTCAAAATTCCCCATATCGGCACAGGACACACAATTCTGACGGATCCGTCAACGCCAGGTAGACAGAGCCGTATTTTGTTTAGGTTTTTGGTAAGCTACGGATTCATTTTGTACTTGCTAACAGCTCTTTTATTTAGAAAAGTTCATTTGCATACAAAAAACAGGACGCCACAAACTAGTTTTACTAACACAAAAATGTCACCTGCTGATCGGCTGTCCACCTCAGTAGACGTCAAAGCGTGATGGATACTTGTGAAATAGGGTGTACATAGTATACCTCGGTGATTATATTTTAAGCAATATATCTAATGCAGTTTATTTGGTATACACTTAATTTCAGATATCCTTGTCGTGCCCATCCTAAAGTGAGATGTACCTCGCTGTGTAGTATGGAATGTGCACGCTGCGAAGCTAGTATAGATCACAAATTGACATGTGGACACCTTGCTAAATGCTATATGTTTACATTAGATGAGGATCGCATCGGATCGTTGAAGGACGACAGTCATTGCGAGGAAGTTGTGGATATGAAACTCAATTGCAATCACAATAAAATATTGAAGTGTTACCTAAAATTTGATTCGCTGGAGAAAAAATGTCATGAATGTACAAATAAAACAAAAAAACATGTTCGTTTCACAAAAAATACCCGTCTATAGTTTCATAAGTAGTGATTGAGTTTTCAAAGAATATTGTTTATTTTTGTTGTTCTATTCAAGTATATGCTATATTGAAATTGTTAAACTGATACTGACAGTATTGTTTTGAGTGCATTGAGCTTCTCAAATATGTCTCTCAAATATTCGATATGAAATATCAAAAGCTTATGGTTGACTTTTAAATATTACGTGTACGGAGTGCTTTTTTTAATTTGCGGATTTGAAATGCTTATGTGTGCAACTCGTTTTTTTATAATTATTAAAATACAGGACTTTGATTTTGCCAATATTAATGTTACTTTGATGATATTAATTATTGTGTAAAACGCGCATAACATAATATGTTTATTAATCATTATTAATATGTTATACTTCAAGATGCCACGTTTTACCTAAACTTGTATTATATTTAAATACATAATTTGTTATCAATCTTCTTTCATTCCACAATCTCATCAAAAGCATGCTATACCCTATTTCACGAGTATCCATCATACTTTGACGTCTACTAAGGTGAACAGCTGATCAGCAAGTGACATTTTTGTGTCGTCTGCAACGTTGGCAATGATGAACGGGTATAAATCTAGTAAAACTTGTTTGTGGCGTTTTGTTTTTATATGCAAATGAACTTTTCTAAATAAAAGAGCTGTTCAAGTACAAAATGAATCTGTAGCGTCCAAAAAAACAAAACGAAATACGGTTCTGTCTGCCTGGCGTTGACGGATCCGTCAGAATTATGTGTCCTGTGCCGATATGGGGAATTTTGAGGTATTAGTAGATAATCGGCTGCCATGATAGATACTCGTGAATGATGCTATATTGTCTTTTTCATAGGGATGTTCGATACGATCCTATATATAGAAGTATCGATACTTTTGTTTCCGATACACGATATTCTTATAAATGATACTTGGGTGCACCTATAATCAAATTCAAGCGAATATCCAAATGAAAATGGTATTTACCATTTTGGATTGGTATTTACCGATTCGTTCAAGCGACTGTGGTTAGCAGTTTGGTTATAAGATCCGTGACGTCACGAATCAGCTGTTATATGTCATAGTTATCACCGCAAAATTGTGGTATTTACCCAATTCAGGAGTAGTTTTATATTTCTGGTTATTATTTGCAATGTGACAAGTTGGAATTTTGCCGGGTATGGGTATTTTTGTTGTACTTCAGCTTCATTTTTCGGAAACTTGATACAGGCCGACTTTAGTTGTAGTATAAAGTAGAGCACATTATTAGTTATACTCATTACTGTTGTCGGGGACACCTTAAATCTAGCTCCTATGCTTAAGTATACTGTGTAGCCATATACCACAAGAATATTAAAATATGGCCATATAAACGCACTGTATAATGTCCACCTGATACGGTTTTGCTATTATCTTTTTTCATCGCTTTTTCCTATAATTTCTGCTAAATCAATAAATGTTTTCTTGGACATACGGAAAAGTTTGGAGAATATAAAATTATTGTAACTACAAAGCCATGGTTCCATCATTAAAAATTATTTTCTGAAAAAAAAAACTTTCCATACACTGTTGTAGACGGAAAAGCACCGATTATTAAATGATAATAAAAATACTCACAAATTATATACGCGCTTTTATTAAAGAAACAACCTGCAACAAAACCGCGGTTAAAACCAAGGCGTTCAAGCGATTCGAGAAACTGACCTCATCATCGCGTGTGTCATCTTAAACCGTATTATATTTGATTTATGCATTTCACGAGTGTCGTTATCTTTCAATTCGGACTGTGTCAGAAAGAGTGACTAACTCCAGATTACTTTTCTTCTTTGTTTCCTTCCGCTGGTGCTACTTTACGACCTCGCATAATTCATTCTGGGTTCCACGGTTACCAAAAAAATCTTATATGTAGCCTTTTTATTAAAAATGGCGGTCAAGAATACTTCTATAGAGCACGGCTCGTGTAAAACTGCCTTAAGAAGATCGAATATGATTTATCTCATCTCTATACCGATACGTGTCATGTCATTTGACAGAACTGTCAAGTTCTATATTTTTAATTGTGTGTGTTCCGTTTGCGTCGAGATTGTTGTGATCAGTATGATCGTTTTGTTGTGGTTTATTACATAAAGTAACCGAATTTGGCAAAGGTTTACATCGCAGAGCACAGTTTGAGACGGAAATAAAAGGAAATCATGTGAATCCGGCCGGCGCAACGCAGCATGATGGCCAAATCCAGGCAAGTGTGATGGGCATTATGGTTTGTCCAAAATGGTGGGCGTTCGCATTTGGGTTCTTCACATAATTATTCTCATTGATTGCTGCACGGCCAAACCGAAAGACTGTCCGAAAGTCTGCATGTGCCTGGGCACCTACGTGGATTGTAGCTCAAATCAATTTGAAACCATACCTTCCAACATACCACAATGGGCTACTCACCTGAACCTTCAAAACAACTCTATAAGGAAACTTACAGACGTCAATTGGAAGCATTTTCCCGAATTGAAGGAGCTGATTCTCAATAAAAACAACATCGCAGCTATCCCTAAAGATACATTGCTTTATCAAATTCAGTTGAAGATACTCGAGTTGAACCGGAATAAGATAAAAGCGCTGCATGCTTTAAGCTTTAAAAGTCTTGCCAATTTGAGCTCATTGAAGCTGAAGAGGAATCAAATAAACGAAATTAGTGATGGAGCATTTTACGGGCTTATGAAAATAGATAAATTGATAATGGACTATAATCACATAAAAGTGATATCGAAACGTTGGCTGTACGGACTAGACACTCTCAAAGAGCTGTCTTTGAGTCATAACTATATACACCAAATAGACCTGGATTCCTGGGAGTTTTGTAATAGCCTGCAAATGCTCGACCTATCATTCAATAACCTACAAACTATAGATTCCGAGAGCTTTAAAAATCTAGGGCATCTATTGAAATTACATTTGAACAATAACAACATCACAAATATCAAAGAAAACAGTTTTGTGCACTTGCCAAAACTCAAGGTATTGAACTTGAGTTACAATAGGATATTTTGGATAGTAGAAGATGCAAATCATGTATTTCAAGGCTTGTCGGATTTGATAAAATTCCATCTGACAGGCAACAAAATAAATTCAATCAACAAGGACGCATTTGAAGGCCTGAAGAATGTCACTTATCTAAATTTGAGCAACAACAACATTACGTCAATCCAAAAAGATGCGTTTGATCATATGCCGCTCCTAAAAGATCTCATTATTAACACCACTAGTTTAATCTGCGATTGCAACTTGAAGTGGTTCTTAGACTACACAAATCTCAAGCAGATGAAAGTCGACAGCGCATCTTGTGCATATCCGGAGTGGTTGAGAGGTCATTCGTTAGCTAATATAACAAGTAACTTGACTTGCGATGAGTTGCCCAAGCCAAGATTGATCGAGGAACCAGATGCTAATATCATGGCACTGAAAGGAGAGAATGTAACTTTGAAATGCAAGGCGATATCTAGTGCAAGAGGGGAGATGATATTTACTTGGAAAAAAGATAATATTGAGATATCACAGCCTGATATTATTACATCTAGTAGCGATGACAATGGAAAGTCTACAGAAGCTACCTCATATTTAAATCTTGTCCAGGTGAGATAAGTTTCATTTTATCATTAGGAATAATACAAGGGTGGTCCCAGAAGTACCTGACCCCACGAAGAAAACACAAAAATTTTGTAAAAAAAATTTTCAACATAATCTCTCTTGAGCTCTATACACTTTTCCCAGCGATGTTCAATAAGTTCGATACCCTTTTTATAATAAGAACTGTCTTGCTCCTCAAAATAACTATTAACTGCCGACATCACTTCTTCATCGTTTGGAAAATCTTTGACCACTGAGCCATTTTTTCAAGTTTGGAAACAGAAAATAATCCGAGGGGGCTAAATCTGGTGAATCGGGTGAATGAGGTAGCAATTCAAACTTTAATGCCTTAATTTTGGCGATTGCAATAACGAATTTGGGAGCTGTTGCATTGTCTTGATGAAACAACACTTTCTTCTTAACCAAATGCGGCCGTTTTTGCTTGATTTCATTGCTCAAACGTCAATGAAAATTATATATATTATATTATGTTGCTGTGAAACTTCACTAAAATCTCAATTGAAACATCTTCACAACACTGTTTTTGCTTGATTGTGAGCAATCGTGGCACCCATCTTGCACACAGCTTTCTTATGTCCAAATTTTCACATAATATGCGATGAAACACACTTTTTGAAATGTCTACTATGTCTGCTAGCTCGTGAACTTTCAGTCGAAGATCATTCAGTCCCGCTTTGTGAATTTTCTTCACCATTTCAGGAGTCGTCACCTCATTTGGTCGACCACGGCGATGCTTATAAGGCCTCGTTTAAACTCTGCTACCCAATATTTTACTGTTGTAAACGAAGGAGCAGACTCGCCCAGAGTAAAATCCAGTTCAGCTTTTATATTGGTTGGGCTGAGGCCTTTGAAATAAAAGTATTGTACCACGTCACGATGACCAATTATCTCCATTTTCACAAATTCACTGAAAACGTTCAGTATTGATGGCTGCCAAACAAATACTAAACAACGTGGCGTCTTCAAACTTGACACATATGCTTTATAGGTTGCATACTTTCTAATACAATGATATTTTTCAAACAACTATCGCCATCTCTAGGTCAGGCCGGGTACTTCTGGGACCACCCTCGTAAGATCGATTTAAATAAAGATACTTGAAAAGGGAGTAAAGTGTAAACATTCAAATCTGACAAAATTTGATTCAAAATTCTGGGTTTTTTCTTACCAAATTCTGATAGAACAAAAGAGAATCAAAATTGAACAATTAAATTTAAATGTGATTTCGGATCATAATTGTTGTCAAGAGCTAAAATAAATGACATTCCATCTTTACTTTTCATAAATAAAAAGCAGTCACACGATTTACTGCTTTTATAGTCTGCAAAAGAAAATTTATTCCATTTTTTCATTGTTTTCTTAAACTATTTATATTATTTTTTCAAGGGAAAAAAGCTGAATTAGAATTTCTTGAATATGATTCTAGAGATAAAAATAAATAATTATTGCAACACCAAAAAAAAAAAGGAATAATGTTGAAATCTCCCATATGCATAGGTCCAAAATTATATCATAACTTATTAGAAAAAACCGACGATCATTATTAGAAATAGATGTATACAAGTGGTTTTTGAAACTGATATAAACATAATGTAATTTATCAAAAATTAACACATATCTTTTCTTACATATTACATTTATATTATATAGATTTTTTTTTAGTCCTATCAGTTTAGTATAACTGCTATGTTATATGTATGTTGTGTTAGCATGATATCCACATAGAATGATGTTTTCATTTTGTGGCATATGCATTTGTTCACAATTTGTAATTGATGTGAATAAATTATTATTATTATTAAGATAATTTAGTAATGTAGGAATTCAAATAAATAGCACAATTGAAAATCTTTTCAACAACTAATTAGGTAAAGGATATTTAAGATATTTATGAAACTTTTTTAAATTTTAACACACTGTATCTTGAGAACGAAGAATTGTTGGTTAAATTTATGAAACATACTTTATTGACCGCCTGTATGTTAAATGGAGAATATTTTTAATTTTTTTTTTTCTGAGCCAAATTATTTATAATGTTAAATACTTATTCACAAATAATAGAATTACTACATAAAAAAACTAAATAAGCAAAAAGAATTATCGGTTATAAAGGCGGCACTTGAATCATACAGAGAATAAAAGCAGTATAGTATGAAAACCTGGCTTTTTCATTTTGATAAATTGATTTACTGCTTTAGGAAGTGTAATTAATGTGAAATATTCGACAAAGTGAAAAAATAAATATTTTTGTTATGTAATGTGATCAATGATATATTTTTTGTAATTTTAACCATAAACGAAATGTACTAGCATAAAAATTTAAAAGAGGCAGTTCATGAACTTTACTGTCTGACCTAAGTATGGCTATTGAGCCTGGATCAAAACTTTTAATTTTTTTAAAGGCTGATCTTAGCGGTAGCGTTTTGACATATTTTGTGATTCAACAGGTGGACAATTCACATGCTGGTAAGTACCAGTGTGTCGTATCGAACAGTTATGGTTCGACATACTCGCAAAAATCAACAATATCAGTATTAGTCTTCCCTACTTTCACGAAAACTCCAAAGAACGTCACAGTCAGGGTGGGGGAAATGGTCAAGTGGGAATGTGCTGCAAATGGTGAACCGCCTCCTGAAATAGCGTGGCACAAAGCTGGCGGAAATGATTTTCCAGCTGCAAGGGAAAGGCGGATTCAGGTAAGTCCAACGAAATAATCATCCTCTTTTTTTCAGCCATGGGGGGTCATTCATCATTATTGAATGGCATATTCACACGTTACCATAAAGGAGTGACAGTAATTGCCTGCAACATATGACCCTTCCAACGTGAAACGTGCTACGTAACAACGCGCACTGTTAAACATGGGCGGCGCGGTAATTTTATCAAGGGGGCTTAAAGGCATTTTGATTCCAGTTCATACTTTGTTGTGCTACTCATTTTAATCCTTGATGTATTTTGTTCGAATCAGTGGTTGAAACTACAGTGGACCTCCGGTAATCCGACAAACATTATGCAGATAATAGAGCACTGCCCAAGACCCCCTATAGTCCGGAATTTTTTACAAAAGAGTACCTTGTAATCCGACAAATTGCATATCCAATGGTAAGATTATATATGTTATGTATGTACTTTGAAGTACAAATCATACATAGTTTATGTATATCGAATTTAGTAAATTAAATAACAATAGAGAGCTTACGTTTTATTATAAAATTAAGCATAAATGCACATCATACATATGAACCAAAATAATCAAGAATTATTAATCAAAATCATTAATGAATTTATCAAACTATGAAGCTTGGAAATATTCATCAATTTTTTTTTGTTCAAGGTTGTTATAACGCGAGATCAGAGCTTTGTCCCTCGGTCTTCTCAAAAGTAAAAGTTCGTTGTAGGATGTACCATTCCTCTTCAGCCCATTGTAAACCTAGCTCAAAGGCGTCAATTGCGTCTTGTGCTGTGACTTGTGGAGCAGTTGCAATCACGTCGTCGTTATTTTCCTGATTGTTGTATAATTAGAAACCTCTTTTATAATCTCTTCGTCAATTTCATGAAAAACATTTTCTTCTTTATCCATTCCACGACACCAGATTTCCAAATCTTCCGGACTTATCTGTGTTTCAGTAGTGACTTGTTCTATAACTTCCGAAATAACACTGATTTGTGGAACGTTGCTAGGAGTGGTGACTATATCTGGCCATAACTTTTTCCAAGACGATTTAATAGTTGATGACAGTAACACATTCCACGACTGACAAAGAGCAAAAACCAAGTCTTTCATATTAAATTCTTTTAAAGTTTTTTCTATTGGTTGGTCTTTTGATACGGCTCTCAGAAGTAGGTTTTTCTTATAGTCTTGCTTGACAAACTGAATGATATTCTAATGCATTGGTTGAATCAGTGCAGTGAAATTTGGCGGAAGAAACATCGCAGTGATGCATTTATCCTCAGTTGTTAGTCCTTCTTCAGACGGATGACCGGGAGCGTTATCAAGAAGCAACAAAGCTTTTTGAGGAAAATTATGATCTTTTAACCATTTTCTAACTTCAGGTACGAAGCATTCATCAAACCACTTTTTGAAAAGGTCTTTTGTCATCCATGCACTTTTTTGTCCGTAATAGTGTACAGGTAAATCAATGTTTTTGAATGCCCGTGGTTTATTAGATTTCCCAATGACCATCATCTTAAGCGCGTGTGTGCCCGCAGCGTTAGCATATGTTAGTATGGTTACACCCTCTTTACTTACTTTTCGTCCAGGTACGGATTTTTCGTTACAAGAAGCGAAAGTTTTGTTAGGCATCACCCGCCAAAAAAGCCCTGATTCGTCTGCATTGTACACCTGTGACAAGTCAAGATTTAAATCGTTCACCTTTTGCAAATATCTTAATTTGAAGGGCTCTATGCAGGCGGCATCGTTAGAAAGTTTATCTCCTGTAATATTCATTAATCGTATGCCATGACGACACAAAATCATCTTTTTTTGTTATTTCCTTGTAAAAAAACTTAGCTTTCATGGCCAACATGGGTCCTGAAATTGGTGCATGCCTATTCCTTTCCTGAAGAAACCACATGTACAAAGCTTCTTACACTTCTGGATGTTCAGCTTTCTTGAGTAGTTAACACGAGCTTCTTGATATTCTCGTGGTTTCTTTTAATGTCATAAATTGTAGATCGGCCTACGCCGTATTCATTTGCTAAACTACTGAAAGTTTCTTTGCGATTTAAACGGTCTAAAAGATCACATTTTTCTTTAATTGTCAATGTTTTGTGCTTTCGCTTCTGAGTTTGTGATAATTGATGACATTACTAGGTACTATACTTAATACACGATGAATAAATAGTAAACAATGAACGCACGCTAGGCCGTACCGCTATCACCAGTAGTCAAAATCAAACTAAGTAAAACAGTGCTTACGCGTCGAGCACGATAGCGGTGGCGCGTGCAAGTTGTAACCTGTTCAAACCTGCGTGATCTACATTAGCGAAGATCATCAAATATGTATGTATGTAATACATATTCAAAGACATGTCGGATTACAGGTGGCACCGGATTAGACAGGGGCCAGATTATCGGGGGTCCACTGTACTTTTAAATCCATGATATTTTGCTTAGGTGATGCCACAAGACGACATATTGTTCATAATCGACACGAAACCAAGCGACATGGGCATCTACAGCTGTACTGCGCACAACGCTGCGGGTACTGTGGTAGCCAATGCTTCTCTGATTATCGAAGAGAAACCCTCGTTTATAAGGAAGATGGAGGACCGCGAATTTATCGCTGGAGAACACGTTGTTTTGCAGTGTTTAGCCAAAGGTACAGTCTTCTGTCATCTCATTGCTTTTTTCTTTTCTCATGTACTCTGTATGATACATATATGTTAACGACTTGTGAAGTTAAGATTCTAAGAATATAGTATTTTTTTGAGAGTACATTTGTTATTTTGGCGCAGGTATTCCAAAACCGACGATAACATGGTACAAAGATGGCCAAATGATAATCCGTACTGAAAGACATTTCTTTATCCATGAAGATCAGATGATCATCATTGTCGATTCTGTTCAGAGTGATTCGGGTGTTTACGAATGCCACTTGAAAAACACTCTTGGTAAGTCTCACAACACGTTACCCCACATTTCTCTTCACAGTGGATTTAAAATCCTTCTAATTTGTAAACCATATTATACCTTATGTCTACAATTCACCTACTTGAGATTTACTTATTTAATTATATTATAGTTTATTTTTAAGTTAGAATGCTTGTATTCTTTAGACAGTAAAGCATATCTATTTGTCCATCATAGGAACATTGCTGGCGGTTATCAGCACACAAGTGTCATATGCATGCATGACGTGCTATTGAAATCGTTGACAAAAATATAATGACGAGGGTGATCCCAGAAGTAGCCGGCCTGACCTACAGATGGCGATAGTTGTTTGAAAAATATCATTGTATTAGAAAGTATGCAACCTATAAAGCATATGTGTCAAGTTTGAAGACGCCACGTTGTTTAGTATTTGTTTGGCAGCCATCAATACTGAACGTTTTCAGTAAATTTGTGAAAATGGAGAAAATTGGTCATCGTTACGTGGTAGAATACTTTTATTTCAAAGGCCTCAGCCCAACCAATATAAAAGCTGAACTGGATTTTACTCTGGGCGAGTCTGCTCCTTCGTTTACAACAGTAAAATATTGGGTAGCAGAGTTTAAACGAGGCCTTATAAGCATCGCCGTGGTCGACCAAATGAGGTGACGACTCCTGAAATGGTGAAGAAAATTCACAAAGCGGTACTGAGTGATCGTCGACTGAGCTAGCAGACATAGTAGGCATTTCAAAAAGTGCGTTTCATCGCATATTATCTGAAAATTTGTACATGAGAAAGCTGTGTGCAAGATGGGTGCCGCGTTTGCTCACAATCATAAAGAACAGTGTCGTGAACATGTTTCAATTGAGTGTTTAGCCAAGTTTCACAACAACAAAGCAGAATTTTTGCGTCGTTTCATAACCATGGATGAAACAATCAAAACAAAGGACTCGAAAGGGAGAACCGGCTCCAAAGAAGGCGAAGACCGTTTCATCTGCAGGCAAGGTTATGGCGTCGATTTTTTGGGGTGCGCGTGGGATAATTTTCATTGACTATCTTGAAATGGCGGGCATTATGCGAACTTATTGCAACGTTTGAGCGATGAAATCAAGCAAAAACGGCCGCATTTGGTTAAGAAGAAAGTGTTGTTTCATCAAGACAATGCACCGGCTCACAAATCCGTTATTGCAATGGCCAGAATTAACGAATTAAAGTTTGAATTGCACCCTATTCACCAGATTTAGCCGCTTCGGGTTATTTTCTGTTTCCAAATTTGAAGAAATGACTCAGTGGTCAAAGATTTTCCAACGATGAAGAAGTGATGTCGGCAGTTAATAGCTATTTTGAGTATCAATACAGTTCTTATTATAAAAAGGGTATCGAACTTATTGAACATCACTCGAAAAGTGTATAGAGCTCAAAGGAGATTATGTTGAAAAATAAATTCATTTTTTTACAAAAATTTTGTGTTTTCTTCGGGTACTGGGACCACCCTCGTACGAGCCTTGTTCAATTTAAACCCATCTTAGGTCTAGAAGAAACGTATTAAGGCACAGATCCCATTGTCTCACCAATCGATGTATACCCTGCTTAAAGAATTCTTGTGGCTGCTGCGCGAAGAATTCTTCAACTTTAAGGGAAACAAAAAATGAATTAATCTTTGGAAAATTCCTAGGCGAAGAGTCCGGCCGCAGCCATATTATAGTGAAACCGAACACTTACGACGCCTCAAACATGCTGGGCATTGTAATAATCTCGGTGGTGTGTTGTGCCGTTTTAACCTCGATCGTGTGGGTGGTGATCATCTACCAGACGAGGAGGAGAATGGTTCCGGCGAGTACGATACCGCCTTCCACGTCGCCACAGAACGAGTTCCACGAGTTGTCGGAGAAAAGTAGAAGCACGCAAATGCAGGTATTGTCAAGTAAAAAAAAATTATTTCATTGTTGAATAGAACAGAAAATTCCATAACAAATGAAAAGGTCATAAAAACAGTGGTACCCAATTACCTGTCTCTTCATTGTCAAAGAACAGGGTTGACACCAAATAAGCAACAATTTACGACCATTTACCGCAAACAGCTTCCAACCTACTATTTTCATCCTCTTTAAACGATGTTTGAAAATGAGCAGAAATCCCTGAAAAGGTTGTAACACTATGTTCTAGCGATTATATTTTTTTTTATTTTTTCTTCACACATTTTTATAGGATTGTGCGGAGCCAGCAGATTCAAAAACTAAACATTTCAGAACCTATTTTATTTTTTATGTTTTCGATATTAATTTATATTCATTAATAATTATTTCGATCATTTAATTCGTCAGCTTTCCAGTGTTAACACGCACAACGCTTGACTGCATTTACATTCGCGATAACTTTATATTATTAAAAACATTTCGGTAGGTGTGCCACAGGGTAGTCAATTAGGTCCACTATTTATTTTATACAGGGTGACTTTGAAGTTGAGTCATTAATTTTCAGATAATGATTGTAGAAGGAAGATAAACCAAAATATGTGTGTAAAAATAAAAAAAAATGTTACCTTGTTTTATAAAGTATCCTCCCGACAAGTATTTCAGTGCGGACCTGTATTTGATTGTGCGGTCTTGGAGCACCGGCATGCCCTCCCCTGTGAGGTCTTAAGTCACCTGATTCACGAGCCCTTTGTACTACATTAACAAAGGCACGAGGGGTTGGTTGCACTCGATTGGGAAACCGATCCGCATAAATCCGTGGTGCCGCGTAAATAAGAATCATGTCCACAAGTTCAGCATTTTCGTAAACATGTGCCATTTTTTTCGTTTGAGCCACGCAACAGACACCACTATTCACTCACGCGTTACCGACTGACACTGACTGTATACAACTGAATAAAATAATTGTAAAAACATCGTTCCAAATCTTTCGCTTTTTTGTTTCCGATGCGATGAACCGATAAGGCGGATTATATCCGTTGTTGCCAAACACGAGCACATAATATTATTATTGAGACAGGGGGAACTCAAACTTCCAAAGGGCTATAACTTTGTTACTTTAATTTTACCAGAAAAATGGTAAAGGAAAAAAACATTTCTTTTGATTAGATCTACTCACTGTTAAAATAAATGACTCAACTTCGAAGTATATTAACGATATTCATGATATTTTACAGCGCTGCAAAATTCAACTATTTGCTGATGATACATTAGAATATAAATCAAATAAAGACATTGAAACTGCAATAGAGCTGTTAAATAATGATAAAAACGTAATAAATTGGTCAAATGTAAATAAACTCAAAGTAAACACAAACCAAACAAAATATATGCTAATAGGAAAATCTTTAGATCAAAATACGATAAATCTTACAATTAATCATGAAAAAATTGTGTCAATCGTATCACTTAAATATTTGGGCGTATATACGTAGACAGTAAATTAAAATTTGAAGGGCACTATGAATATATTATTTCAAAAATATCCAAGAAAATAAATTACTTTTATAGAATGTCGCATAGCCTGAGCATGTATTCTAAAAAAAAAACACTAGCATTCTTCCTCATTTGTTATATTGTTCGACTATTTTGTTCACTGCACATGAAACTGAAATATTACAAAATAAAGCTATGAGAATCATCCTAAATAAAAATAAATATACTAGAATAAATTTTATGCTGAAAGAACTACAATGGTTAAATATCAAAAATTTCATAGCCTACTTGGTTTTCATTTTCATATTCAAGTTAAAAAATCATCTTCTACCAAATTACTTAGAACATTTTATTGTATTGTACAATGAGTGCCACAATTATTCTACTAGAGGAAGAATAGATTTCCATTTACAAAACTGCAGTAGCAATATAACGAGCAAGTCAGTATTTCAAAATGGATTGTACGAAATTAATAAATAAAGTAGTGATATCAAGATGTGTGCAAGTTTGAAAATGTTCAAAGGGAAATTGAAAAAATATCTCATGGAAAACCGGAATTCATCGTATTGAAATTTCCTCGTTCCAACATTCTTTTTCCAATTTCCAGATGCAACTGTTCCCCGACAACCTGTCCGATCGTTCTTCGTGCAAAGACAGCGGCACCGGCGACTCTGCGAAGCGCAGCAGCGACGATTTGGCGGTCCACGAAGATTTCGTCACGTCGGGGGCGGCGATCGACGCGGTCGACGGCGTGGAGGCGGCGAACAACTCGCACGCACCGCTGTTGCACTACGTCAGGGTCGCGGCTTGCATTCAACCCGCTGCGGAGGCGGGCAAGGCTGGACCTTCCGCTGTTTAGCAGATAGGTGAGAAAAGAATATTGTTTTTGTATTCACAAGTTTTGATCCTGTAAACAGAGATGTGGAGGGATATAACAAAGGTTTGTTATGCATTGTTTTATGGATAATTTTTATACTATTTCCAGAGAATTTAGATGGTTGTTATTCGTCGGTCTCCAGATAATAATTCCCAGTTTGTTCTTGAATTTCCAACATTTGGGGCTATCTAGGTCTTTAGCTGTGTTCAGCAGTACAGTATAATCTAATGCAGCGCTGATGGAAAACATCGAGGACGACGGCGACGTTTTGAGTACACTTTCGGAGTATCAATAGTATCTTGAAAATACTCAAATCAAATCGTTATCTACGTTATTAATCTTGGAATGTGCCAATTTCGGATTTTCAAATGCGGTTTGTTTATCAGCTAGTAGTCCCGTTCTTTTTTTTTTTCTTAACCATATGCTAGATACATCGTTGATATCTCGACAGATACACAGTACACCAAAATTTTCTATTTCAGGTAACCGACTGTTACAACATAGAGAAGTATTAATCCGTAACGTAATTTTACTTGAATATTTTCTACTGGAAGAGGAAACCGCGTCTCGAAAGATGTTTGCTTTAAAAGTATTTTTTTAACTATTAAAACCGAGGTTTCTCATCAATTAATTTCAAAGTACAAATTAGAATTTGCTCCTAAACTAAAACATTATTTTTTAATGTTCACATGCTAATAATCTGTCTTGCAGATCAATATTATCCTTAGTACAGCTAATTTAGAGAATATTCTGTAGGTTTTCTGTCCAAAAGCTTTAAATATATGCCAGCTGTTAAGAATTATAAGTGGATGCCGTATTTAAATCTTGAGTTCCAACAGTAGCATTTTTTAGCCCAGTTTTTTCAGTCTGAAAGTTTTGTAAAGTGACCAACATTTTTTCTTAAATTCCAATAACCCATGTGCCATCTTTGTTGCCTAACTATTTTAACAAATCCTGTGTTTTTTCATATTTTTTTGGGGTCAAGGTTTAAATATGATTTTGCCATACTGTATAAAGTACAATTGAGTTATGTTCCTTTTTTCTGAAACCGTAGACATGTAGCTCGAAACTATAGCTGTAAGGTATTATTTAAGGCAGAAATGCACAGAATGAAGTTTTAGCATCACGAACGTGTTTTAGCCATTACTTTTTTTTGATAGATTGATAGTTTAGCCACAGTTTGTGCATTTCTGGTTTAAGAGGTAAAAATGTAACTTATTGTTCTAACAATTGTGAATGCAGCAACAGATACTAACTTGATCGACTGCAACCCTTTAGTAGACAAACGACTAGCAATCTGTGAGATGCGATGAAAGGATCCCGCATAAAACATTTTAAAAATTGCTTCCAGTTGATTTGTCTAAAATTCAAGTTGATATATTTCTCGCCTTGATTGAAATTGATCATCGGATTGCTTTGGTCCCAGTAGAAATTTTACTCAGGAAAGCGAGAAATACATCATAATAAATTTTTAGGCAAATCGACTGGGGCTCATTTTTATATGATTTGTGCGGGGTCCTTTGTAGGCACGATTAACGTTTCAAAAGATTATAAGGTATCTTTAATCGTATTCAGGTGAGCGATTGAAGATGAAACGTCATCTAACTCAAATTCTGTTCCAGGCAATGGAAATCTTTTCTATTATCTCGGTTTCCTTTCAAAGCCTTCTATCTCATGGAATCCCGTCTTTGAGTTGCATTCTTTAAAGCATATTGTATTCAAGGATAGATTGTAAAGACATTTGACATCTGCGACTGACAGCCCTTAAGTAATGCCTCATTTCATCAGGTATAAGACGATTTTGAAGTAACTGTACGCGATGGAGGAACATACATGATAATCTTTGTAAAACTTTCAATTATTGTATAAAAGGGGTGCTACAAAATACAAACGAGTTTTCCGAACATTTTTTGACACTTGTGGCAATAGAGCATTTTATTTCAAGGTCTGTTGTTTGACTGACGCTTTGCAGTCTGCCATTGAATGCAGTTTTTAACAGAGCTAAGGACATTTGCGTTTTATTTTTGACGCCAAAAACGTACTGCTACGTTTAATCTTCAGAGTGTTGGAGAGACTCACAGATTGCTGTTCATTTGTCTTATAGAATCTGACGTAGAATATAGATATTTATTCAAAACTACAGTATTTCAACTTTAGATGAATTTATTCATCTGTTAGCGCGAAAATATTCAATCATTGTTCATGCGTTTGAAAATTATCTGTCAAATTCGTATTGTCCTTCATTTTTCACCAATACATCGTTCCTTATATACGAAATTTTAATGTACTAATCAAGTGCTTTATAAACTTATTGTATGCTTATGACGTTGAGGTGCCTTATAGGTAGAGTTAAAAAAAAAATGAGAATGTGATGCTAAGATTGGCCTTTCACTCTACCTAAAGCAACTTAAAGCCTCTATTATTGAAAAAGTATGTTCGAATTATATACAAAATTCATATACATGGGGAATTTGTCAAGTGGCAATTCTTATTGATTGAAATTTGTGCTGAAAAAACGCTGCTTCTGATTTCGTTAAAAATTTCTAAATTTTGAAAAGCTCACAGCATCTTATAGAATCCATATTGTCTACTATATTTACACTCAGATTGCATAAATTATATAAAAAGTATACACAAACAAAATTATAATTATTAAAAATGCATATTGTATTGCCTAAAGCATAACATTGGTGTGATCATATTTAAAAAAATTTAATGTTTCAAATGAGCCATTTATGATAATCTTTTTAGTACTAATATTTAAATATGTTTTATGAGACAAACAATTTTTTTTAGGTCTTTTTTTACGGAACTGAAAAATTCTAGATTTGCCTTGAAAAATGATAACCCAAAAATTTTATAATTCACTGTTTTATATTTTGAATCTTTGATAGTCGAATACTCTAAACTCCACCCATAATTTGATTTAAGTTAATCTGCAAATTAAAAGATCTAATTAAAGTTTTAAAATTCACAAAATAAATGAATCCCTTCTTGATAAAGAGGGAGACATCTCCTTTCAACATCGTCCATTTTAACATTGTATATATTGTGATATTTTTTGAAGTAACATATATTTTAAGTTATCCTTAAAATCATTTTAATATTTTTTTAGATTTCCCAGTACTATCTTATTTGTTATAGAAAAAGTATTGACGTGTGATTGGGTGCAATATCTGAATGATTTTTGTTGATTGGATGCGACAGGAATTTCGTACCTGTTGAGTTTTATTTATTTATTTGCTAGTGTTGATTTAGTTTTAGGAAAATCCGTACATTGTACCATTGATTTACGTATTCCACCAGAAGATTGCTGACAAACCATTCAACTTATGCTTACAACTATACAGGGTCAAGTCAAAATAGTTATCAGAAGAATATAAAAAATCTAAGTCGTGTACTTTTCAAATTTCAATTTTTTCTTAGACACAGTGACGGACGGTGTCATTCTACGTAGTGATAGCAAGACAGATACTTCTGTCTAAGACAAAATTGAAATTTGTAGTAATGGGAACTAAAAAATCATCAAAGGGTGTGTATTTTTCCGGATTTTTTTAAGCCTAATTCGAAAAGTACACGACTTTGATTTTTTATATTTTTCTGATTCCTATTCAGCCTTTCCGGCTTGAGGTGCCAACGTTGCCTTTTTCTTTCTCTTGCCGCAGGTTATGGGATTTCCTTTTCCGTCGTTGCAAGAATCTGAGGATACGGAGTTTTAGGAATGATTACGAGGGATAGTGAATGATTTCTCCTCGGAAGAATACGTGAATCAATGATTATACCGAGTTTTACACTGGAATCCATATTAGAATGGGATCGTTTTAGAAATGTTTTTAATTTGCTTATTCATCAGTATTTTCTAAATGTTATTTTTACGTAAAGATGCGAGTGGATCAACTGCAGGGACATACTGTTTTTTTCCTTCAAAGAACCTCGCACAAAATATACGGAAAATGGATCCCAGTCGATTTGTCCGAAGTTTCAGTATGATATATTTCTCGCTTCCCTGAACAAAAGATAGTTGCCGATTTGCAAAAAAAAAATATGAACGTCCACTTAATCATGTACGTTTATAAAACAGTTGGTGCTTTTAATAGATACAATCCTCCAATTATCACTTGTGGGAGGTGCTAATAAACCAATTAATTTTGTCCAGTGACATGCAATAAAACGGTTTTTATTTTTTTCTCGAAAATGAAGTAACACGAAAAAAATAGAAGAGGCAAAGAAGTTGTATTTTTAGATGCTTAATCAACCAACAAATATTAGTGTTACAAAAGTCAGTGGCATACATTTTATTGCCAATAATATTCGCTAAGGTGCCCCCCAGTTCCTAATAATTTTAATCTAATAATGGCTGAATTAGTCTCTTAATACAAGTATTATTGCTAAATTTTAACAGAATCAAGTAAATATTTTTTAAGATGTCAATTAAAAAATACTTTTTTTAAAAACTCTGCATTTCCGGACCCATGTTTATAAGAACTTTTATACATAATTTTTAACAAGTAAAGTATCTCCGTCTATTTCTCAAACACCCTGTATAACAAACTTCCTCCGCCTATTTCTGAGAAACTAATCATAGAATCGCTTTGGTCCCGTGAGAAATTTTGTTCAGCAAAGTGAGAAATATATCATACCCAATTTTCAGAAAAATCGACTCCATTTTCCATAAATTTTGGCGCTGGGTCCTTTTTCGAAATGAAATAAAGAAATCCTTATAAAGGAAGACCAGTTTCTGAAAATTTTTGGGAAGTCGGTCTTGTCTGGTTTATCGGACATACTCCTACCGAAAATAAGTGTGAGGTCACATGTTCTTAGAGACCGATGTCCACTAGGGCAAAAAATTACATGCTGTTGGATATCTTCTATAAGTTGTGTCATGTTTTGTGACGTATATCGGAAATTCAGAAGCCAACATTTATCTCATTATTACAAATATTCATCAGATCTTCCAGAAAATGTTCAAAAATTGGTTCTCAGATTCTAATGAGCCATGGCGCCCGTATGGCAGAAGGAATAATTAATGGCACAGTCCTAGCTATCAGCTTTTATAATAATTTCTTTGTTTTAATGCATTTTAAGGTTCTAAGCTTAAAATCCAGTGTAATATTCGAGTTCCTATATAAAACGTGGAATTGTATTATCTGTGTAAGCTTTATGTATATGTATGCTCATTGTACAAATTTTTTTGTAATATATACAATCCAAGACAATTCTAGGCTAGTTATTGAAACTGATAAATTAAATTTTACGATATAATTAGTAAGTACTGTTAAAATCTGAATTAATCGATTAATACCACTGTATCTGTAAGTAGATTGAAAAGAAAATGTTACGAACACGCACTAACCGTCAATCGATCCTACAATTGTAGGACGCCTTTATGGTCTCCTTGATTTTAATAGTATTTTTCCTCCTTCAAAAAGGCTGGTGTATTTCTAGCTTTCTACTGTTCCTATTGTGAAATTATGTTTCCTTTTTGAATTGAAAGAAATTTCAGGGTGAAGAAAGTGTAACACAAACATTCTGACCACACATGATGTGCATGAGCATGAAACAAGGTCATATAATAATTTGTAGCAGATTCCTACTAGAACTAATATAGGATTGAATAACCCCGTCACTGGTAAACGCACATGCATTCAGATATACTGTAAAGTCACTCGAATTGTTGAACTTACTCTAGCTAGTATTCGCCCTTTAAATATTGTGTCTTTGTTTTAGAGGTTAGAGAACTTTGTTTTCGATAAAATTTGTATAGATTGACTATTGAATAGAGATTTGTTTTAAAAAAATAAAAGCTGAACTACTTATTATTGCAAACAATACAAAATTAAGACAAAGGATCACTTAAATAAACGTCAGGTTCAAGTTGAAGTATCGTTGTAAGTAGTCACAAATATAGGCATAGGTAGATATTCATCAAATAAGGTTAACGTTTACGTAAGCCTCTACTATCTCCAAGAAAGTTGTTCCAATTATTTTTACATCCTCAATAAAGTGTAAACAAATGAATTCAGGACTTACCAAACTCTAGAAGGCCTTGTCGTGTCTCCAAATGTATACAATAGGTAACATAACACCACAGAATCACTGCAAATCGGCACACTACACGACGAAACATCACATTCGAAACCGCAGATGTTCTTTGTTTGTACAGGACGCGCGCGACGTGTTGCCTCGGCGAGATCCAAAGATCGACTGAACAGCAGCAGTGCGTTGTGCGCCGGCCGTCCGCATCGGAACGCTCTCGATTACGTCACAGTCATATGTCCGATTCTCTCTGCCAATCACATCTTACGCGGAAAGTGGGGTGCGCGGTGGACCGCCGTTGAACGCCGTCAACTTGAAGCGATAGGTGTAGCTCCGCCCACCCCACTTTCCGCCTAACATGCGATTGGCAGAGAGAAACGGACATGTGACTGTGACGTAATCGAGAGCGTTCCGGTACGGACGGCCGGCGCACAGCGCGCTGGTGCTGTTCAGTCGATCTTCGGATATTGCGGAGGCAATACGTCGCGCGCGTCGTGCACAAACAAAGGAACATCCGCGGTTTCGAATGTGATGTTAGATTGTTTCATCGTGTAGTGTGCCGATTTAGTGATTGTGTGGTGTTGTGTTACCTATTGGATACATTTGGAGACACGGCAAGGCTTGCTTAGGGTTTGGTAAGTGCTGAATTCATTTGTTTACACTTTCTTGTAGATAGTAGAGGCTTACGTAAACGTTAACCTTATTTGATGCCTAAATCAATGAATAACAAATAAAGCTATCGTTTACCTATGTCTATATTTGTGACTACTTACATCGATACTTGAACTCAATCCTGACGTTTATTTGAGCGATCCTTTGTGTTAATTTTGTATTGTTTCCAATAGTAAGTCGTACTGTTTTTATTTTATTTTTTTGAAACAAATCTCTTCTTGAGAACAACAAAACTTAAAGGGCGAGTTTTAGCTACAATAAATTCAACAATTCAAGCAGCTTTTGAGTGTCTTTACAGAATTTCTGAATATATGTATGCATATATGTGTATATATATTATTTCTTCTATTTGTAAAATTGGGTTTGCTGAATAAATGTGGTAGAGTTCAGGGTGTACTGTACTTTCCAACAACATGTACGTTTATCAGTGATACCGTTATTCAATCCTATATTGGTTCTAGTAGGAATCTGGTACAAATTATCATATGGTCTTGTTTGTATTACACTTTTTTTGAAATAATTTATTTAAACATAATACTTTTCATGGCTTTTAAAAAATTTTGAAAAACTTTTTAAATTGTTCTAATTCCAACAGCTTATCTAGTTTAGAAACATTCAATTCTGTGTGGATACATATCCGTGTTGGCAAGTCATAGTTAAAACAAAATGTCCCCAAATAGGTAACATTATAAGTGTGCCAATAAAAATATAAATGTTTATTTTACCGTCTCTGCTTCTGTACAAAGCAGCTATCATCGACGTTGTTTTATGAAAAAAAATTTAATGTGACTTAACCAATTCAAATTCTCATCGGTAGTAAAACTCGGGTATTTAATGCTTGATACTTTTTCTACTTTAATATTATTTATTACTATACAAACGTAGGAGGTTATCATATCATTGTTTTGTATTGTAAATCGTTAAATATTCTGGATCTAGCATCACTATTTACACCAAATTTTGATTGGAATCTAATTTTTAGCTTATTTATACTATATACAGGGTGATTCACAAGTCGTGATCAAACATGAAACTATTTGGAAAAATAATGCAACTAATCCCCTGTATCTCCGCCAGCGGTGCACGTAAAGACTTTTGAATGTTGGCAACACTTAGGTAAATCCGCATAGCAAATTTTAGTTCATTCCGGTTGAGGGTTTTAAAGATATTAAAACAAATTTTATTATTTAGCTTCAACACCCCGTATCTTTTGATGAAGCCATCAAGGAAATTTTTTTTATTATTGTCAAAATTTTCAGAATTTTTAAAATTCCCAATATTTTACATTCCAAACTGCCATTTTTAAAAATTTTCAGTTTTCAATATTTTCATGATTTTAAAATTTTTCAAAACTTACTATAGTCCTAAAAATAGGAATAACTTGCAATGAATTGTAAAACTGTATTTATAACTTTTATTCAGCTATATGAGAAATATACAATAAAATAATGTGTAAATAAATTTGCTTAATATACAGAATGACATTATAACTTAAATATAAAATATAACAATTACACTATTTACAAATTACGTGCTTGAAAATTTTCAACATTTTTCCCATAAAGCAATTTAGTACCTTCCGTCGTTCTATCATCACAATTTTGAGACAACACTGAAACAAGAAAAACAGCATAAACATCGAATTAAACGGTTACTAGCGCGAAAGACATAGGTAAAAATCCTCCCCAACCACAGATACCAATCACGCAAATCAGACTGGACCATCTAATCTTACACAGCACAAAAATAAGAAAGAAACTGTGGATTTGTACATGCCATAATTGTTTGGTTCAACGGTTCAAATCTTGGGCAGTTAAAAGTGGTGCAGAACCATATTGTAAGGATTATTCTAAAACCCATTATGCAGCTTTATTCTCAAGAAATAAACCATATTAAAATCTTATATATCATTGCAGTATGTAGTTTTGTACATGCAAATAAGAAATTAAATACAAATTGTGTCCCACAATTATATGACCTATGAACCCACCTTCTTAATGTTATCGCTGTTTGATATGGTCAGTTATACAGGGTGGTCCAACGAAAAAGTCGCACCCCCATACAGAGGGTGTAAAAATAAAGTCAAGAAATCGGTAAAATCTGGTACTGGTGTCGACGGCATTTATTAGCTAATAAGGTTCGCATACGAATCTTCAATATAATAAGTATAATACGCCACTGTGCAGAGTATTAAGAACATTGCGAGTGTGGATCCAAGGAAGTCCTCGCCGTCAGTGTGGACCAAAAGTACTTTTTGTGTAAGAAATTGTAATGAAATAACATCGGAAGAAGTTATAAAAAAAACTATACCTACACCTGCTATAATCACTCCGCGTTATCTGCGCTATTTTCGTTATTCTGGCCATCACCTTGCTCCCTGGTCATGTTCTGTATAGGTTCGCTTTCGGGACTGTCATCACCGGGGGACTCTAGCCGGCCATCGAAAGCGTCTTCTCGGGGGGCCGTCGCGTCCTGGCTATTACTCGGTGCCCGTTGGAAGTCTTCTTTCACCATTGCTTGCTTCTGCATGGGCTCCTGTTATGTTAAAAATGGGACCAGTTCATGAGAAGCTATACTTATAAGATAATAAACCATATTATTATTTGGTAAAGTCTGGTTTTACTCCTAGCTTTTTGGCCGTTTCAATTACGATTAAAAATACGATACCCCTAACCACCGCTACAAAAATCACCAATTTACCTTTTCACTGTTGTCCCCTTCGCTTTGTTGCTGTTTCTGCTGCGCGGCCTGTTGAGCTTGAAGGTGGGCCGTTTGCGCTTGAGTGTTTTGCAAATTTTGCGTTCCCGCCATTATTGCGGGACTTTGGACGTTCGGTTTCCGCAGTTTGTCACCTGAAAAAATCCACCGTGAAAACATCTCCTACGACAATTGCAGAGAAAGCATTGAAAACAAAAAAAAAGTTAACGTAACATCTGAAATTTATCCTGTGGTTGTCATGTTTGTCGGGTAAAGTCCGAATCGGAATTTGACGACAAAAAGCTTTTAAAAATTTTGTAAATAGTAAGAATTTTGAAAACTGAAAATTCAAGTTAATGGAACATTTGAGGCCAATACTTCCCGAGAGATAAGTCAAAGAGCAGAAAAAACGGGTTGACGGCGGAGTTCTATGAAAATGGGATACAAAATTTGAATACAGTCTACAAAAATGCGGAGAAAAAAAAATAGCGATTTGGAGGAAGAAAGAAAAAAATTTAATCTCTCTAAATTTCTATAGGAATAATGTTTCATATATTTCTAAAATTGATAGGAATCCAATTCCTCGTATTATTTAGTAGATCCCGTTCTCTGTGGCACCAGACGGCTGATAAGACACAATAGTCACATATGTTTTTTTTTATACTTTCTTTATACAATAAAAGAGAAACTTGCCTTTCCGCCAGAGCGTGATTTCCTGTTGTTTGAAATATCTGCGATCCTCCGTGTCCATCAACACTAAATTTAGAAAAT